CATTTTGGACATCGAGCACTGCGCCCATGTCTTGTCTCATGGACAGCGCCACCATTGCTGCCTCATACTAATTGAGCGTCAGCTAGCATTGACGCTGTGCCTTAGTATGTGTATACTAATCTACCGCTATTGTCGGGTGGCACTCCAAGTATCTGCTCTCCAGGCTCTCGACTTGGTGCCGATAACAGCAACATGACGCCAGTCCTTTTCCATCCTGAGAGATGAGCCTCCGTTCGGGGCACTAAACTATAGTAGCATGATCCAATGTTAATTGGATTATGCAAAGCCATGGCCCGGTAACACCTTTAATTAGCATCTGCTCTCTTCTCGGCCTGGCCATTACAATTCCCAATTTTTTCTCCATGTTGCCTTTTTTTCTTTCTCTCTTTCTCTCGTTTAACGAAGTGCTCGTCTCACCGTTAGCCCCAGAGGCTACGCAATCCTCGCTGGTCTAGACAGGGTTATCCTGGTGCAGCCGCTTGTCATCCTGGACACCAGCCCTGGCAACCTGGTTAGCAAGGGCTTGAGTGCCGCTATTAACTTCCCGAGCTTCCATGCGGCACAGGCACAGAGTGCGAATTACCCCGTAAAAGCACAGGCACACTCGGAACTTGCTGACCAACGAAAACGTCAAGTCTCGCCATTCTCTTGGTTTTCTGCGCCAAGGGGAGAAGAGAATAACGAAGGGAAAATGACCCCTGGGAGTTGCCTCGGTTCTCCAGGTGGATACTCCCCATGCTATATTGCCCCCGTACGAGAGGGAAGAAGAAGAATGAAATAAAAAATAAAGTGAACCGAGTAGCTCCCGTGCCATGGAGATGGGAGAGCAATTCTCAATACTGGTCAAAGCAAGCCCTGGTGTGAGACAGAGCTAGAGGCGACGCTACACAACGCAAGGATCGTGACCAAATCGAAGGAGATGCGTTAGCACAGTCCCAACGCGCGTTGTTCTCAGCAGAGGTGCTGGCCTTGGGCGTTTAGTCACCCCAAACCCAAGCCCTTCCTGGCCATGGTGTTACGGTTTGGCCAATGCCTGCTCCGGCTTGAGCGAATGAAGACGAGTTTGGCTGAGGGGAACCTCCCTCGGTACGGACACCTGAACTCTATACAACGACTGGCATCTCCCTGGACTCCCAAGGGTGGTGCTACAGCTGCTGGTACTAGCACCAGTGACTACTGTACAGCAGGTGGTGTGTCCCGTCGTGTGCTCGTACGTGTACTTTGTATACGTGATGCTGGTACTGTACAACCCACAGAGCATAAGCCGTACAGCTTTGTTTCGGGAGCCGGTTGCTGCAGTCCGTCTAGTGTGCTGCACGAAGCTCAAGTGCCTGATATCCGTTTCTAGCCACGCGCAGCAGCTTTGGACCACCCAAGATGCCGCGGGGATCACGACTAGTGAGCACGATGACCCATCGGCGTGGTCGCGACGAGAGCTCGAATCTCTTGTTCTCGAATCCGCCCCTCTGCCTCCATTTCCGTGCCGCTGGCGACGGGACAGAGTGGCACATGGTACCTTGGAGAGACAAGGACGCGCTACTACGATGCCCTGGGTGGTACGGTACCTACCATACTGTACTTGGTATACCTTGCCGGCCCCCTTTGTTGGCCGATGGAGAGTCTGCCGACGGCGGTAAAAGCACATGTCCTCGTCCACAGAGCGATTGAGGTGTTGGTTCTGGCGTGCCAAGGCCAAGAACTTGGGAGCTTGTCCTGCCACGATCCCGGCGACTCGGCATCAGAGTGCTGTGCTGTCCAGTACCCAAGAGCCAAAGTACGAGTACTACATAGTATGTACACCTGAGGAGAGGAGTCCACCACTATCAATATTAAAGTCTGGGACGGTCCATGCTATTGAGACGTCAGTGCTAGGTACCCGACCAGGGACGGAGCTGAGTGGGTTCCCAGTTGGTCGTGTCAAACTGGACCCGATATCTGTCCCTCCACACGCTCGTTCTGGGACCTGTACCGATGTCAATATTGATTGATCGGTCTGGTACCTGCTTGTGCCTTGTGTCAGTGTCTGTGCCGACGGACACGCGGGACTCGTAGTGTCAATACCTGTACTGTACTCGTACTACCACTGCACCACCTATAGTACTAACCCATCCATAGCTCAACATGAATGCAGCCAGCAGACGCGATGGGTGAACTGATGTGACCCGGCTTGGTGCGGTACAGCAAGCTCAGCAAGCACAGCAGAGCATTTTGGTCCATTCAACGCCTGGCTGGCCCTCCCTGCCCGCCCTGCGCCCGTGTCACCCTGACTAAAACGCTCTCGCGGTGACATGCCGACCATCAAGGCCGACGCCGTGGTTTAAGGCCGTCGACGGCCCAGACCCTGGCCAGGTGGGTGTAGCATTTGGGCGGCCGCTACTGCTGGCGTCGCTACTAGCACGACCGCGGTGCCCTGGAGCAGCGCCTGTAGCCGGCCTAGAACCTGCCTTGGCAGCTAGCGGCCACTGCTAGCACTGCAGCCCGCGACGCTCCAGGCATCGCCGCAGCGGCACCCCAGCCTGCGGCCTCTGGGGCTTCCAGCACGTTTGGCCAGGCGGGCCGGACGATCTCTGGCTTCAATGCCTCGTCGACCAGGCAGTTCCTCGCGCATGCATGGCAACGGGGCCCAGAGAGGGAAACAAAAGAAAAGAAAGGCAAAGAGGGAAACGAGGGAACCAGAAAAAGAACCCCGGCCTGCGCCTGCAGCTGCGTCTGCGTCCACGTCCACGTCCTCAGCAGCCAGCGATTGGCCCAGCAAACAGCTGCGTTCCAGCTCCCTGCCTGCAGCAGCAGCAACATCCCAGCGAGGCTCTCCGTCCGCCTTTTCGCTTCGTCCATCCTCACCTCCAGCCGCTGCATCTGCACCTTACAAGTACCCGAACATATGCTCCATGTCCCTTTTTTGCCCTCTTTGTCTTCTCATGCCCTGCCTCGTTGACTGCTTTGGACCTTTGCTGCTTACTTCTTCTCTCTCCTGTCTACTCCGTACTCTCTCTCCTTTCTCTCTCTCTCTCTCTCTCTCTCTCTCTCTCTCTCTCTCTCTCTCTCTCTGTCTGCACCCTTACTCTCTCTCGCGCACCTCTTGTCTTCTCTCCTCACGCTCACGCCTTCTCGCTCTCCCGCCTTTTCTTCTGCTGCTTCGCTCAAATCCTCCCTTGCTCTCCTTGATTGGCCATCTGACAGGCGCGCTCTTCTGCGACGCTGCTGACACGCCAGCCGGTTGGGACCAAGGAGGCTACCGTCCAAAGTGGACTGGCCAACACCAGAAAAACGGCCGCGAGTAAGAAAGCGACAAGAGAGACATCTGCTGTCTTTGTGCGGGGCCACACAGCTGCCATCGTCCGGGTGGGTTGTTACTAATTGGCCCATTCGATCCTCTGCCTTTGATCTCATATCAACCGGCACATCCTCTCCGTCCTCAACTTGCAAGCAGCTTCTGCCCTTCTCCCGGTGACTGCCGCTCCCACCCAGCCCGACTTTTGACTCTCGTTTCGCTTCGGGCTCGGATCCCGATCTTCTTCTTCTTCTTTGGCCTCCTTGGTGTTTTACTAGAGTCCCAAGAACTCGGCTCTAGTCTACGGGCGTAGCTTCTTCTTTTTCTTTTATAAAAAAAAAAGAAAAAAAAGAGAGGGATTCCATCTAGCACGTTGGCGATATTCTGAGCTTGTCGCCCGTACTACCACGCCGAACCTTGTGTGCCCATGCCAGAGCTAGCTAGACATTGCTACACATAACTCTTGCTGCTTCTCCTCTCTGCACTTTGGCCATAGCGATTTGGGTTGATTTCTCCGACTGCTTGATATTCTTGTCGTGTCCTGGAGCGCACAATTCCGTACCTGGAGTCAAAATCACACCGTCTCTATCTAGCTCTAGTCTTCATCTGATTCGTCCGACACCACGGCTTCTACTATAAATCGATCGGCAGCGCCTTGCACAAACAAACTTCGCCTTCCATCTGCTGGTATCATCAAGCAACACGGCGTCTGAGAGCGTTCTATTTGCCTGGCTGTGTCCTCTCCCATTAGACCTGTCACCGAAGCTTTGGATAAACGCCAACCTCGACATTATCTTGCCCGTTTCTTCTTCAACACGATTCGGCTTCCCCCAGCTTGCTTGCACCTCGTCTCGACATTGGCTGCTACTGTTACACAGCCTCGCCGGTTTTTGCACGCTCGGGTATAACAGCGTCCTCGCACACGCCCTCCTAACTGCCAGCAGCGCCATCCCATGAGATCCTGATCTTTCACGAACATGCAATAATCCACCTATCGCCTTACTTTTCAACAATCGCACACCACCACCTTGATTGACCCATTCCTATTTGCCGTCTCTGCGCTACCTTGGGAGCACAGACTGAATATCAACCGTCTCACCCCTTTACAGCACGACGTTGGTAGCACGACATCGCGAGACAAATAAATTCTCTCCAACTCTAAGAGAATTACAACAGTACATTCTGAGCAAACCATTGCCGCCGGCGCTAGCTTCTGCATCCTTGGCCTCTCTTTCTGGCCTATGCAAACCGAGAGTCGTACCAAGCAGAGCCAAACTACCTGCTGAATCTCCTTGGGGACTCGTTGGATATTTGTTAAATCCGCCTGCCTGCGCTTCGCTCGTACTGCCACAAACCCAGAAAACGCTCAACCTCTCCTCCAGCCATGGTTCAGGACTGGACCCGGGATTCGTTCCCCCGTCACCCGACCTTTCAGCCTCAGTATTATGATGGAACCACTGCGCGCCACCAATCTTTTTCTTCTGAGCGATACACCTCTGATGTTGTTCAACGACACCACTCCTTTCCACAGGAGCGCGTTGGTGTAGAAGCTGACAATGCCCGTTTTCAAGAGGGCAATGACTCGCGCCGCCCGCCACTCATGGTAAGTTGCATATGATGCCGTCGGCCTTGGACTTTTCTGACAAGATGCGAACGACAGCAAATCGACGAGGCACTGAGAACCCACTGCGGCATTGTGGCCAAGCACTATTTTGTTGCCGCCATCAACGAAGATGGGGCCTCCATGACCTTCTTCAGTCCTAGCCCGGGACGTGGGATGACGGACAGCACCATCCGCCAGTTCTTTGACGCCGGCAGATACCGCCAGGTCATGTCTCGCATTGACGCAGGTAAGATTCTCCTGTAACCCACCCCTGGGCGGGTTGCTAATGTGGATATCAAAGGCGCGGACCCTATGCTGGACGACTATCTTGAGGAAGGCTTTTACAACCGTCCCGCTGCTTTTAACCGTAGTCGGGTGATTGACCGCCGCCGCAACTCTGGATTCGGTGATTGGAGTGACAGCCCCGTCCGCCAAGGCCGCAAGCGCGCAAGAGGACCGCGGGCTGTAAATGATGAAGACGATGTTCCTATGACTGTCTCGTCTCGTAGAGGCATCAGGATCGGCGACTCTCCCGCTGTATGGAGTTTCTATGAGCAGCGATTTAAGAACTGCCAACAGACGGCTTGCAAGCTCATTGCCAAGGCCTGGGTCAAGGCCGTGGAGCCCAAGAAGCAGTCTACGCATCCTTACACCGGCAGCGATGAAAAGGCGCCTGCTTGGTGGCCAAAGCCGTGGGGGCCTACCAAGGACGACAAGGTCCGGCACAAAGAGCCCGATCACTTGTACAAGCGAGGTTAGAAAGAATCACCCCTTGGAAGCACTGGAAGAATCGATGAAGACTGACTAAAAAGCAGAACGTGTACATCTTCTCGCTCACATCCTTAGATTAGTGGTTGAGCCCAACACTAAGCAGCATCCTGATATCCAAAAACTTGGCTTGAACGTGAAGAAGCTCGAAGAAACAACAGTCGAGGCCCTTTCATCCTTCTTCATGGACAATGAAGCCAACGCCAAGAAGAGGCCGTTCCTGAACGAAATCTTCAAAGTAGCTCGTCAGGAGGAGCGATACAAGAATGGCGAAATCGGTAAGCCGACCCAGGTCAAGTTCAGGCTTTTCTATATGCTAACCGCAAGAAAGATGGTTCGACCGAGGTCTATGTTATGGCAGAAGACAAGATGCCCGAGAGTTACGCTTCGGACAATGAGGAGGCTACGTACATTAAGGATGAAGATGATCATGAGGCCAGATCTAAACCCCTGGCTGCTCAGTGCCTCCCTCATCCGGCAGCATCAGAGCCCAGCTCCGCCACAAGCATTCGCCCGCCCACCTTTATAAATGACATAACGGTCAGAGCCAATGCGTTTCCACCGTCCATGATTGCAGAACTTCCCGCGCAGCCTCACACATTTGTCGAAAGCGCTACAATGTCCGTTCACAGCAGCCAGCCCGTGGCTACTACTGCTGCTGCTAACATCGCTCTCGACATGGTCGCAAGCCCTCACGACGCCAGCCGCCGGCCATCAGTGTTCAGTGACTACGCCAGCCCTGGAGGGATGTACAGTCAGCAATGGCCACAGGCATCGACGAATACCAACGCATCCACCATGTATCCTTATGCTCAGCAGCAAACCACCGCACAGTCAACGTCGTTTGTCGGCTCCGGGGTTTCGATGACAACCAATCAGCCCTTCATAGCCAATTCTTTTGAAGCACCGCAACGGAGCGAATATGACCAAACCGGAACCTCTCTATTTCGATCGGGGGACTTGTCTCAGGCACCCCCAGTCACCCAACAGCAGGGTTACGGCTACGCGTTGCCAAATGATGCGCGGGGAATGAGGGTCATGACCCAGGTTGTGGATGCCGCTGGACATCGCCCGTCTCTACAATAGAGCGGCACAGCAACAAGGCATAAGGCAGTGCGCACAGCTATGCTGGCCTTGGGCTCAACGATGGGTATGGCGGCCTGGTCTAGACAGTACAGGGCGCGGTACGCACCGGAACGCATGATGACACTTTGTGTGTGAATTTCGATTGTGATTTTTTTTCCTTCTTGTCGTTGCTTATTTCAAGTCTTTACGAGCCTTGGCGTTTACTGGGCTTTCGACAGCCCGCAGGGGGCTTTCTATTCTGCAATTGATATCTCGACGAAGCAGACGGATCTTACTTACGCTGCCTCGGTTTCTCCTTTCCACTTTTTTCAAGGCTGCCTTTTCCTGTCTTGACCCTGTTTAGTGCTTGTGTGTGTCTGCGAGTAGGCTCTCGCGGTGGGTGGATATTTGCCTCTGGCGGATGCTTTGATGAGTTTCTGCGATAACAGTCACCTGGCGGGCACAGCCTCTGATTTTTCAAAACGTAGTTTTGGTTTGGCACCTTTGAGACTTGACGCACGCTAGCGTAACGATTGCAATGTCGGGGAGATTTTTGGCTTTGTGTGGCATTTTCATTGGAGTTTTGTTTCTAATCAATATGGATGCAGATGGATGGGCTGATATGGTGAGGGAGGCTGAGTGGTTATGGGATGTAGAACGAAACAAACAAACGAAGCGAGCGAGCAAGCGAGCGACTGTCATCTTTTGGGAAGCTTCAAGTATCTTGGGAAGAAAATTGGCCTTTTCTTTGGGCGGGTATCTGGATTTTGTATTTTGTTTTTTCTTTCTCGTTTTGATATGACGGTACTTAATTTTTGATGCTATTATTTAATGGGTATACGTGCATGAGGCAGTGATGAATGCTTTTTCTTTTTCCTTTACAAGTTTTGGTATCCTTTCTTATGGGCTTCGCCTTTTTCACTGTCATTTGCAATTGTTCTCTTACACCCGTGGACTCGAGAACCCCCTACATGACCTTTCAATCTTCCTAACTGAGAATAAACGGAACATCTCCGAGCTGGGAAATTCACACACGGGGGATTTAATTGCGCATCGTTTCCTGACCAACAGTTTTCCGAGCGGGAGAAGATGAAAAAGGGGGGGCTTGTTTTTGGTGTCGAGGTGCTGGATTCGGCATGTATGGATGCATAGCCGCGGGCTGGGGTTAGCTAGAAGGATAAGTTGCATGGATATATATGCAGGCAGCGAAGTAGGGAAGCCGGGCTGATGATTAAAGGGTGTTTCATAGCTTGGAAAGGCGAAGACGGGATTGGAGCTGAGATGGAAGAAGAGATGAGGTGAGTGTCTTGATCTCATTCCCGTCTTCATCCCTTTACTTCCCTTTCTTTAAAGCACGGCCGGAAAGAAATCTGTGTGGCTTTTGTTTGTCGCTGTGAAGCTAACGGGACAAGGATGTGTGGAGTTGACAAGGAGAGTTGCCGAGCGAGAAAAGAAGGGGCTGCGACGAACTGATTCTGGGATTTGCTGGAGGCGGGGATCGGATCGACGGGAAGGGGGGAGGGGAATGAAATGTGATGTGGTATAAGTGATTGATTCTGATTTATGCGTGTGCGTTGTCACTTGTTTAACATTTTGCTTGAGCCGGGTGTGGAGATTTTTGTGATTTGATGGGGAATTGGGCGAAGCGTGAAATGGAGCTTAGGGGAGCAAGACTTGTTGGACGGTAGGAATGGAGCCTGAAAGCTACCGATAGGTATGGCTTATGCAGGCTTTTGGCGAATTGTAGCTGTGGTGGTGTATGTGTGTTCCAGGAAAGACGCCAGGGGGGTTGGAGAGTTGCGATAGAGAGGAGGAGAGAGAGAGAAGGAGAAAAAAGTGATGTGTCATGTATCCGGCAATGTACTTGTACAGGCACGGGCTGCGGTTGGTGAGTTGCAGTAGTCTACATGATTCAGGACAAGGCTACTAAAGCATGTATGTCTGAGTGTGGGAAGTGGAAGAGAGGGTGTGTGGAATGGAGCCGGATGGATGGGATTGGAGGAAGAACGAGGTGAGTTGAGTGTGTTCAGCTGGCTAGGGGTGCAGGATGGCTAAACACTTGGGGAAGGGAAGGGATGGCGAGGGAAGAAGAGCGAGGCTGGAGGTTGAGATGGGTTGTTTGGGTTTGACTGCGAGACTGGATGCTGTATCGAGGTGGCATGTATTATTGGGGGAGTGTGGTTTGTGATCTGGGGAGAGACGATGTGATGGCTCGATAAGGAGAAGGGCAAGGGTCCGCTCTGAAGCAAAGCAGAGCAGAGCGTGATGAACCTCTCTTACACGGCCAAGCAACGACGCAGCAAAGAGATAGCTCAGCTTCTCTTGTCTCTCGCCTATTCACCAGATTGCAGCCAGTCAGTCACCAACACATATCCGCTTCAGCTGCGTCCCCCCTCCTCGCAGGTCTCTCCCGCAAAAACGCCAGCGCTATTTCTGCAGCTCGCGTAAAATGCGTGTGTGTGTCAGGTAACAACAACATCCCAATCCCAGTCGCCGCAGCGAAAAAAAGAAAAAAAAAAAGGCCAGGTCCCTACCACTCTCTTACGGCAGGGCTGGGACGAGGAGAGAAAAAAAAATGGTGAGCGGTCTGGCCCGTCTCGCCTTATACTTCCGGGGCGTGTACCGGTACTTCTTGGGAGGGGGGATGACAGTGTCTTGTCCTTGCTTTGGATTTTGTTTGGTTGCCTTGTGGGGCTGGGCAGAGGTTTGGGTGTTGGTTTAATATTTGAAGGTGCGTTTATTGCTATTGTGGTGCTCTTCAGATTAAGAATTGGAGAGAGTGAGGCTTGTAAGCGAAGGAGAGGGGGGAGGGAAATGGTCTGATTCTGATTCTGGGCGTGCATGGTGCGTTTCTTGGTGATGTGTGCAAGCAGATTATATTATGCCCGAGTATCATAGATGTTGAGAGATATGAAGTACTGCTTGATTGCCCATCTTCGCTTTTAGCATCGACGTGCGAATATAAGCTGACAGTGGAGACTTTCATTGCGAGTGTCCTCTTACACGGGCAAAATACAAGAGGTGATAAGGGGATTCTCTTTGTGATTCGATCCGGATGTCACAAACGCGTTAAACTGGGCCGGAAAAAGATGCTCTATTAATACAACCCTTGTTTTTTGATGACCACTTAGTTCCATCTATTTTCCCTCCGGTTTCCTTCTCTAGCCCTGCCAGCCATCCGATCAAACCGGGTCGATTCTTGCAGGCAAAGCACCCAACCAACTCCTCCATTCTTTCTATCCTAGCCAAGGTACATGCACAGTATACAAACCAAATATCAAACGCAAGACCATGTCGAATGTCACCACCCAATGTAATATCGTATCATCAAAGGTACCTCTTTCACGTATATACCCTGTCCGCAAACCCTTGTCCCATGTCCTCGGCTCGACCATGGGGGGTGGAAAAAAAGGAAAAACAAGAGCAAAAAGTGACAAAAAAGTTAACGAGGGGTAAAAATCCGAAAACAATGAAAGAAATGGGCGCGGAGGGCAGTTCGGAGCCAGCTCCGTCGCTTTGGTTGGCTCTCCGTTTTCTCGCCCTTAGTTTTTTTTTTTTTTCCTTGGTAATCGTGTGGAGAAGGAGATTTTTGTTCGTGATGATGAGCTCTTTGTCGGGCGATTGATTGTCAAGGGCGAAAGAGATGTTGTTAGTTGAAGTATGTTTTAGGGGAGAACTTGGACAAGCCCCGGGTTGGCGGTTTTCGGTTCTGTATGTTTGGTATAACAACATACTGTATGCGACAGAGAGCTATGCCAAATGGGATACTGATGTGTCGTATTTTGGTTTTCACGGCACCAAGTTTCCCTCCCTGCGTATCTGCCACAGAGATGCAGGCTCAGCGACCTGGCAGGGGAGTTTCAAGTGGTGGATGGCGTCTCCAACGCAGTTTACGTCGCTTGAGATGCGCTCCTGGTGTATCGTGAGAACGCGATCAGACCGGATCGAGGCAGCTGCTTCCCACGCCTTGACCACATCAGGGCTCATCTCCAGACGCCATGTCCCGCGCCAGGCGATGGACACATCGCCTCCGTCGACGCGGTAGATAAAGGCACAGGCGTTGTCCTTTCCACCGTTCCACAGCACAAAGGTCTCTAATTCGGGCATCTGCCTCGCTAGAGCCGCTGCCCTGCATAGCAAGTCCCCAATCTTGTCGTGGGTGTCCAGGCTATCTCTCAGGAGCTGTGAAGTGAGCGCCACACTCTTCAGTTGTGACCATGTCCACGACGGCTTGCAGTGCCGAAAGATGTGTTGGGCATCGACCATGAATGAGACGGCGAGGTGCTTCATGCCGCAGCTCTTCTTAGCAAAAGCGTCGCCTAGGCCGTCCGCAATGGCAATCGAGTTGATGGTGAATGTCGTGGCCTCCTTGGGAGTGTATTGGGGAAGAACTTTGTAGAATTTGGGCGAGTCCTCAAACACTACCAGGTTGGTGACGCCCCTGGACAACTCATGTAGGAGTGCACGACGTAGATCTAATTACCAGAAATGTTAGCAGTCATTGATAATGAACAAAGCTAACAAAAAGACAAAACGTACCCCTTAAATGGTGCTCTCTCCCGTTTGAACGTGCATTCATATGCACCGCCCATGGCTCATAGCTCATGCTCTTCAACGAAGGCAATGCCCCGAGCATGGCACCCAATCCAGCTGGCGAAATGCACCTCCGAAGCTGTCGACGAATGACAAAGCCAGTAACACCGATGACCCGAGGAAGCGGCTTGCTGGTGAAACTCGAGTCCAGCTTGATAGGCCGGAAGAGGCGTTGCACGGCCAACTCTGTCGCCAAGGAGACTTGTCTGCCGTCGACCCAGCCATGTCGGGGGTCGTGAATCCGGCCAATGGGGCCGTCGTCTTCCCCGGTGCGGCCGTCGGAAAAGTACAGCGGCTTGAACCAGTGTTCGGAGTCGCTGGGCGAGATGACGTTGAGTTCCAGCGTCAACTTGCCATGTTGTCTCTCTTGCCAGGTGCTGAGGGCGGTGAATAGTTTCCGGATCGCCTTTCTGACGGTTCTACCAGTACTTTCTGGACGGGAATTCCAGCTCGCGGAGCATGAGTATGGGTCTCTAGATAGTTCGATTTCGAACCAGATGTGGTGGACCAGATGTCTCTTGTGCTGCGGAATCATGACGTTCAATTCGTCAAGACAAGGGACTTCAAGATTCAGCTTCTTGTAGTTTTCTTTTTCTATGAAATCCTGCCATTCAAAGTTGATGGCCGCACAAGAAGTCCATCCAGGAAACTTTTCGCAGGTGACCTCTTTCATTATCATGAGGCGAATCTCAGGGGGAAGGTCCATCCATGATGATCTTGGTGGAAGGGGCACTACGGGGTATCTGCCGGGGGAAGAGATGCTTGCCATGATGGGGGATGTGAAGAGAAGGGTTGATATCAAGTGCGCGGGTTGTTGGTTGGTTGGTTGGTATATTGATGAATGGGCAACTGATGACTTGGAAGCACTTGATGGGTTGTATACTAGAAGATGAAGTATGGTAGCTTTATTGGGACAGGCTGGTCTTTATAAATGAGATACAAAAGTATGTGTCCCATTGTTTACATTGGAAACTTCCGTAAACATGCTCATGCTTTGGCTGTTATATTGACGATATGACGCAAAGGAAACTTCCGGATCGTTGGTATATACAGAATTTCAAGGTGGCTAAAAGTTACTGGGGAAAAACACTGACGATGGCTTATTTCGATGAGATTCGGAAGAAACCTTCAGGCCCGAGCTTGCTCGATACATATGGATAGATGGATTTCACTAGGAGGAAAAGTAAACAACAACTAGAATTCACGATTGTAGTGGACTATTTCCTTTGAACTTTAGTAGATGGCCTTGTACTTTGGCATTATCTACGGGTTGAAAAAGTGCTTGCTCAACGTCACTCCGAGCTTCAAATATCCGATACTTTATTTTGATAAGGCTTAAATAAAAGAGTCTTATCAATAGGTACTTGCTACTCACACAGTGATACGCATATGTATTCTTGTATATATATCCAAACCGTACCTATTATTTACTTTCCCAAAGGCAAAGTAAACAAATGACTACAAGCCACCGACTACACAGAAGGGATCTTCCCAATTACGCTTTACACCCCCCTCCGAAGCATCGGACTTATAACCCACCAGCAGGAAATGTTAAGAAAAACAAATTACACTCCAGGTTTCCCTTTTCCTCAACTACTCCATGTTCTTGTATCCTCTTAAAAACACACCGCCACTAGAATCACGCCCAGCAACCAGGTCGTCTACAACGCGCGGCCTATGAAATTGGAATAATGTGTGTGGAAAATAAAAAGTCTTTTAATGTCACGGCAACTTCTCTTCCGTTCCCCGTTTGTCTCTTTGTCTCTCTCGTTTCTTTTTTCTGTACATTATTTCCCTAGGGATCATGGGTTGGGTTATAAACCTTGGCAACATGGATGAGAAAAGGAAAGAGAAAAAATAAAAAAAAAAAGGAAAGGAAAACATGTGATCGGCTTTGGCTAAAATGACATGTATATGGAAACACCACTACGATGGTTTTGATCTCAGGGACCAAATTCGCCTCTTTTAACCCAAAACTGAAAAGGGGTCCCATCGCTCAACTACAAACTACAGTAGACTAACATGACAGTTAAGACAGACAATTAGACCTCAATCGAGTTATTTCTATTTTCATGCCGGATATTCACTCTATGCCCTCCTAGTGGCCCCCGAAATACAGCTAAACTGAGACAGACAGCAACAGGGGTCTGCATCCAACCAATTGGTTCTCTGCAGCTTTGCGGCCAATATGGCTAGTAACCGCTTGAATGCATGCATCGGATTCCCTCGAGACTCGCGGAGATGCAGCCTCTGCTTCCGCGATCTTAAGGCAGGGAAGCCTCCAATGACAACCCCTGATCGGATATGCTTCGTGATGACAGCACGGCAAGGCACAGGCTGGGCATCAAGGATCGTACACATTATCTTTGGTCCCCAGCATCGGAGAGCGCTAAACAACAAAAAAGCTTTGCTAATTACGTAGAGGTATTCCCATGTAGCCCAAAGCCAAACCATGTCTGCGCGTATCCGACGCGGTCCAAAACGCATGCGCAGGTTCCCCTTTGTAGTCCTCCAAGTACATCCTACCAAACGCCAAGCTGCTGAAAGAAGGAATCTTACAGTGAGAAATGGTATCTCTCCAGAGCTGGGCCCAGTAAGAATAAAACAAGATTGAGAAAGAGAAAATAAATCGAGGACTTTGGTAAATGAAAACAAAACGGTTCGAAAAACGTAGTCATCATCATTGCCGAGGCAGGCGTGGCAGAAAGAGGCCGGCAGAGGATCCGTATTGACATAGCCTTGCGAAACGGAAGGGGGGAGAAGAAGAAGAAGAAGAAGAAGAAGAAGAAAACATTCATGACAAGTCGTCTCTCTCGTGCTGCATCCTCGCCTATGTCGAAACATAGTAAGCTTCGGAAAAGCTCGAGAGAGATGTTTGAGGGTGGAATATCACCAATGCATGTCCGGATTCCTAACTCGACGGCATACCGGCATTGGGCTCTTCCTTGGGTGCGGCTGGTGGCTCCAGCCCAGCCTGCTGTGCAACTCGCTTCCACGTCTCCAACTCTCGGTACAGCCGCTCGCACTCCTGTTTGAGCTTATCGTTGGACGCACTGAGCTCAGTTATGGCCTGCTCCGTAAGAAGCTTTTCCAATGTCCACTTTTCAATGTTTTGCTGCTCGTTCTCTTTGAGCTGGGTGATGAAACTAACAGCCCGCTGCAAAATCGACCCCTTGTTCTTCTCGCAGCCTGGGACAATCTTGGCCAGCTCGTTGATGCCTTCGTTAATGGTCTCGCGGCGTCGACGCTCCACTACATCCGCGTGTTAATATCCAGCGTTTCCCCCCGAATTCAAGACTTCATGTCTTACCTTCTTTGTGATTATCTTTCCGCATCTTGTGCCACTCTTCTGAGCCAACGCTCGGCTTGGGGTTGGGAGGAGGCGGCGGGACTGCGTATCTGTGCTGTGGAGGAGGAGGGTGAGGTTGAACGCCGTTGGGCGGAGGAGGGGGCTGGCCTTGGTTGACCGTATGATCCATCAGGGGGTCGGGCTGTTGTGTGACGTCTGTGGTGAATGGGGTATCGTGCTTGAATGCGTCGTGACCGTGGTCGGGCTCGACGGGTCCCTGTGCAGAGAACTGCTCCTCGGTTGATGGGGGCACATGGAGGGTCGGGTACATGCCCAGGGCAGCTTGGGCTGTGCTCGTTGCATTGGAAGGATCTGAAGCATCGGTGTGATCCGCAGCGGCAGCTTGCTGGAGGGCGTTGAAGTCGGCCACATTGACGCCGCTCACTGCCGCGGCTTGCGAGGCCTCAATGGCATTCTCGATGAAGGCGGCCGTGTCCGCCGGTGATGCTGACATGGCTGCTGGAGGAGCGGCACGCTTTGTGCGTCCGAGGTTGGGGCTTTCTAGTTCGCGCTTTCGTTTCTGGCCAGGAGAGCCAGGAAAGCCAGATAGATCGGGGTGTTCAGTGACAAGTGCCTCGGCCATCATCTAGCCGTTTGGGTAGGGGAGGAAATAAACAGCGGTGGCGAGCCGATGCAGTTGACCAGCTGAGAGTTTGAGCGCTTGACGGTTGGGCTTGCCAGATGAACTTTATAGTAGATGTTTGCAAAGGCAAAGTCAGCTGAAGTGCATGTAGCTCGACAAGTCCTGAGCCTATCACTCCGGTTAGACGACGACACTAGAATACGGTGCCTGCAAGGACAAATTAAGGAAGCGCGAAAAAAGAAAAGTTTCAGCTTGACACTTATGGTCCATGCCAAACGCGGGAACTCATATCACTCGACAACAATGGCGGCAAGGGAATGCAAGGCTGAGGTAGAGATGAGCAAGGGGGTGCTTGCAGCACAGTGCCTGGTCACGGACGAATATGGGCGATGCGAAGCTGCAAGAAGTGCACATTCGCTCGACTTGAGCCAAGACTGATGTCGTGCACGACGCCAATGCAACTACCGCGGTGGTCTGAGACAGCGGGAGGACGTCGGACGTTGGCCGTCGAGTGCGGTGCTCCTCATTCATCGCGGCTCACTTGAGCTCAGGGTTGCAGTGAACCCGCATCGTCACGATCGCGATGCTTCCCGCAGACAAAGGCATCCATCCGTCCACCCAGCGGGTACAGACGCCGCGGTGATTCAGCCTTGACAGCATCGAGCAAAAAGCCATGATGCAAGCGGCACATTCGATGCAATGCGGATCGCGAGCGCGGGTGATGAAGCTTCAGATGCGAGCTGGTGCGCGGACGGGGCGACGATGCTACGGCTTAGGAGTGCAGAGAGGAGCAGAAGGAAAAAAAAGAAAAAAACAACTCGTCGCAAAGCATCTCCCGTTGCTGCTGCATGGAGCCCCGAAATGCGCAGCTCGGCCATCTCGAAGCCATCGTGATGAACAAAACGTGTAGGGAAGTGCATAGCAGGGACATACCGTGACGATCATGTGCTCTGGAGCCAGATCACGGGTTTGGTCGTCTCACGTGTTTTGCGTGATCAATCTCGTGATATCGCGCGACGGGGTCCAAGGCGAGTGTAAGTCGAGGCGGCAACAGCTCGAAAAACGCACACGAGGGCATTAAAAAGCTGAGAAAAAAAAGTGCATGAAGAAGACGAGAGTCGCGACGGCCGTGGTCAAGGGCCTCAAGTGACAACTCTTATGCTTACAAGGCGTATTTTCTGCTCCCAGATGCGTCTACGTAGCAGAGAGAGACGGAGGAGAGGCGCTGAGGGACAAGGTCGGGTCACGCGGCGGCAGAAGGGAGGCAACACGTGCAAGCAGCGGGAGGCAGTAGTGATGAAATACTGGCGATGCCTTGCCCGCGGCTCTGCGCTAGGCCGCGTTGGGGGGTGATGATTGCGGCCTGAGGCTGAAACCCGGGACGACTTCGTTTGGGAGGGGGGGGGAAGGGCACAGCAAGTGCTCCGTACAGTACTGTATTTGTGTATTATGTACCGGATACTTTGTGCTATATACGGAGCAGGGACGGAGCAGTACGGAGCAGTACATGCACCTGGACAGGCACGGATGGAGCCCAGATTGTGGCCTGGCAACCTGGTAGGGGCCGCTGGGGGATGCTGCTTCAGGGCCCGCGGGCCAATCAGCGCGCGTGACGGGGCACGTAGGCGCAGCGAATGGGGAGAAGCGCCGGCGCCTTTTGCGAGCGCATGGGTGCTGGAAGGGCTGGAGATTGGGTGGAGGCGGAAAAGGCAACCGGCGCATGATATGGACAAGAGCAGCGCTTTGTTTGTTGGGTCTGGCGCCTTGAGGATTGTACTCGTACTACCTTGTGTACTTGTACTGTAGGAGGGATTGAGAAGTGATAGGTAAGGTACTAGAGATAAGTACTCAGGTACCAACAGTTACCGAGTACGAGGTACTGCAAAAGTACAGGAACCTACTGACACATCGCGGTGACGGCTGCTGCTGCCGGAAATCACCTGCCAGAGAGGCGGACGGAACAAGCTCCGTCACGTACGAGTAGGTACTCGGCACCTCTCCGTACATGACGACGCGATAAGAGGCAGCACCTCATTTGTACCCCGTACTTGTACTCCGTACTTACCAAGCATTATTCCCCTGCTCACTGCTCACTGCTCAGCAATCGAGTCGAAGCAAGCATCAATCAATCACGGCCCTTCCCACTTTGGCCGTCCGCGTCCTCGTCCCTCCCAGGTGGGGGCTCAGCAACATCAGGCAATACCACGTCCAGCAGTGGCCCCTCCCGCACCGCCCAAGTATCACCTGCTAGGGGCTGCGGGCTGTCTCTCTCTCTCTCAGTCATCAAGTACTCGTATTGGATCCAGCGTGAGCAGCTCTCGCAGACGATGGCACCAAGCCTTGCATATGCATAGGTTCATGTTCACGCTCACACTCACACTCATGCTCACACTCACGCTCACACTCACATTCACCGCGCCGCACCGCTGCTCTTCACCGTCTCAAAAGCGCCGGCGCCTCGACAGACGCCATGAATCTGCAGTCACCTGAGGCCAGAGCGAATCACTTGACTGAGAGGCAACGGCCCTAGTGCATGGGTGAGACACTCACTCATGCGGCCCCCAAATGCTGAGCTGACGGTTCGTCGGTTGCAGCAGCCTTGACTCTTGATTTGAAGTCGGGTGTCTTACAGACAGACAACATGGTGTTATTCACAGACTGATGTCAACTCTTCAGCTCGACTAATCAGCTTAGATATGCTGAAAGAGCTATCAGCGCTGCCTTATGAGAGGCCATCATACCTCCCGCTCTCAGAGATTCACGCCCGTGCTGATCATGTACTATGTAATATATACATGAGCTGACACTAAGACGTAGCGAGGGGGTGCTCACCCAATAGTTGGCAGGCCCGGTGACATGACATCTTATAGTGTTTACTTAGTGCCAAGGTCGGTAACAGAAAGCTAAATGAAGCGTATTGATCCTTCGTTCGATTGAGTAATGACAACACACCTGACGGGGCTTCATGCTCACCGGGACAGCAACTGCCCAGCACTTTGGGTCGGCTACCGTCTACTATAATAATTCTCCAGGAGGCTAGTAAGGATAGTCTAACTATCTGAAGCTCACCGTCCAAGAGGACTGACCTTGGGCGCTCAGAGCTAATGAGAACCATCCAGCTTAAGTCACGGTGAATCCCAAGACGGAGAGGACGCAATAAAGTTGGACGCAGACAAGGCCACTGAGATTATGGTTGACCGACAATCGTCAGTAAATGAGTCCCTGGCAGCGAAACGAAAAGGGAAGAACATCTGTCATCGACTGTCCTGGGTTTTTCTTTCGTAGTGAGGCCTGAGGATCATTGGAGCGATAATCCCGGTGAGGGAAAACAATACCGATGTGGTAATTGAGAAATACCAGAGATACTAGAGATACTAGAGATACTGGGGATGCCTATTAGATATTAGTGATACTACCATTACCTCTTAAATATTATAACTAAGTTAAGATATTTAGAAATATTTTTATTACCTTTAAGTCTATAGTAAGCAAAGCTTTCATAACAAGGCGATTTCTGGACACCATCGACAGCCTTCGATGCCTGAGAATTGGCGGCATCGTCGACCGGCCCCAGATCGTCGTGGTGGGCGATCAGTGCTCGGGTAAGAGTTCAGTGCTGGAGGCGATATCACGAGTTCATTTCCTCGTCAGCGATGGCATCTGCACTCGGCTTCCCACAGAGCTGGTGCTTCGTTGGACGCCTACAGAGAGCACCGACTTGAGGATCAGATTTGTCTTCTAGTATCTAATATGGACGCCCTCGACAACTAGTTCGTCTTCAATCGGTAGTCTCTCTTCGCTTTTTCTTTCTAGTATCGCTAATATCGCTAATATCGCTAGTATCTCTAGTATCCCTAGTATCTCTAGTACCCCTAGTATCCCTAGCATCTCTACTCCGTAGTATTCCTAAAATCTTGGTGCAGGCAGGTTTAGATTTCCGTTGTCTTGGTGTTGCTATTGAGTACCTAGGTACGATGTGATGTATGTCACGTGATCCTTCATCATCATGTATTACCCCATGCAACGGGTGTTGCCAGAGATGGAATCAACATTAAAATCACAGAATGGTTCGGCTTCATCCTCCGCTATCCCCGCCTATCACAACTACTCTTTCCCCGGCTGCTCACATTCGCATTATTTAGTTTCGTCATCTAGCTTATTCTGCGTCATATAGCCCGGTACTGCAACTATAGGCAGCCGATAGCGATCCCGAAGGGCGGCTAGGAATTGACTATGACACTGCATTTATAGCCTGTGGCATTGTTATAGGCAATAAATGGCATGGATGGCTGGCAATCAAAGACTCTGGTGGAAATTTCCTGGAGCTGGAACGTCCCGATCATGGTATTCTGACTGGCGAACTCTACTACTTTTGCTTAGATCGCCAGAATCCTGCTCGTGCGTGTGTACTTGTACTCTGAAGAAATCTCCCCAACTATTTGCCCTCGTCTCTGACTGCGTAACCTAATACTGCATGATATTACCTAGATAGATATTCTGTCATTCCGTCTTTTGACCATTGGCGATTCCCGCATAATGATATTCCTGAGCCTTGGGCGGGACTAGTAATTCCCAACTCTAGACATGAGCTGGATGTCACATTTCGAGATTCAACCTGCCGAATAACTGGATATGTGAATGCAACAGAAGCGGCACACTTAGTACCAGCGTCAGCGGTTGGCTGGTTCAACTCAAATTCGATGTCAAGGTAGGTCTTGCTCTCGAGTCCAGAGAGTGCAGCATCTACAAGACTAACAAAGATACATTTAGATACTGCTCTAATCAACTAGAGGCTTTTGAGATCAATGACGGACGGAATATGATTCTGTTACGTCGAGATCTCCATTATCTTTTCGATCAACGGCGCCTAGCTTTTGTTGTAAAACGGTCTGACGATCAACGGCGCCAAGCTTTTGTTGTAAACCAGTCTGGCAATCAAAATGCTCAACTTGTAACGCACTCACTCATCCCACCTGGCGAAATTGGGGCAACTGAATTGGCGCATCTCTATCATAATAGATGTCTTCAGCCTTTAAGTGGCATATCCCTCGAATTCCTACTCGCGCGATTCGCTTGGTCCATCTTCACCGACGCGCTATATCCTTTTTGAAGAACCATGGGATGTTCACTGTTCAGATATACGACCCGGAAGTTGACCAGTATGCGATCAAAGACCTGAGATCCCTTCAGATAAAGGGACTCTCTCTAATTTTTAGCAGAGATATTAGCAGCCGCAGGAGGCAGCACAGTGAAGACGAGCCAGAAGAATACGATGTGGAAGAAGAAGAGGAGGAAGAGTCAGAAGAAGAGTGGCCCGGCCGTGGTCGTCGGAGAAGACGTAGCTGGGACTATTCAGTGCCAGGCCTTCAATTTGATTTGAGCCCTAGCCCAGCGGAGACACAGAATCGCGTAAATCTCGAAGGTTCAGTAGATGATGCAGATGAATCCTGTCGAAAACGTCCGCGCGTGGAACCATTTCTTCGTGATCAGGCTGATCAACTCTAAGCCGATGTATCTTCACTCCTTTATCTACCTAGTTTGTTTATTTAGCAACAGCATTTGATAGGAGCGATAGTATAGAAAGTAGCTGATATTAGCTGATATTAGCGATAGTAGAGAAAGTAGCAGATGGTAGCGATATTAAAGAGATTAGTTGATAGTAGCGATGTTAACAGAGGCGAGCGATGCCGAGAGAAAAGCCGGTAGTAATATAATTGAGAGAAAGGATCCGTTTTCACAGTCAAAAAGGTACCGGAGAGTGCAGACATGAGGTTGATGCTGGAGCTCCAACATTTCGACATACAACATACGCATCCGCGTAAGCCAAGCCCAACATCAGCCATCATGACAACAACAAACATGTCTATCACTTGAGGAGAGGCGATGGGAAAAGTTGAAGAGCTCATTAAAACCATCTGAACTAAGAAATGAGATAATGGATTAAACGATTAGCTTGGCTGAGCAGATTGTGATGGTTCTGCCATCTGATCTTAAGATCTGGTTGGAAAGTTGGGCAGCGAATACGGAACAAGAAGATGGGCATGAGCAAGTAGTGGATTTTATTTCCAGGGGTTTCAGGAATGCCGTTATGGGTTAAACTGAAGGGCCCTGGAGCTGTCCATTTAAAGGAGACATATCTGATCCTCCTATAAGCCGGTATAATCGGCATAGGATTTGAAATAAGATGGCAAGGTAGATGATGGGATGGATACATGGCGAATAGCACCTGTATAATGTTACATGTCCATGTATTGGATACCGGATATGGAGAACTCCAATGCCAATATTCTATTTGCAAGGCATATAAATTGTGATAATTAGCTACAATTGCCGTTCAATTCTCGCATATTCGAGGCACATATAAGCAGCAATTGTTAACGTCGGTTTCTCTATTCCTTGGAGCATGCTCACTGGCGACGTTGCCGAAATGGGCATATAAATGTACATGCGCGCTGAAGCTATACAAATTGGTAAAGGATGCCGAAGGATTCGAGGGTAAAGGGCAAATAATTCCAATTGGAGGTTGACAATAAAGCATTCGCATACAAAGAAGCGTGCATCTGCTGGTTGAGCGGAGACAATTGGTTGAAGATAAATATACCTGACTTATTTACGTACACCTACCAAGCTGCAAAATTTTGAGGTAAAGCTGGTGAAGCCATGGCACTTTTGCTATCATGTAGTGATACTTCTCCATCTGCGATCAATCACGAGATGCAGGCACTGAACGCGGAAGCTAGCGGCCACTCTCCCAACCCGACCCCGCTAGAGATTCGCCAACCCCAACCTTCAGGCGCCTCGCTAACCCTCCATGTTGTACAAGTACATGCCAGGCAACTGATGTCATAAGGTACGAACTACATCAAGCAACCCATCCTTCGATCAACGTCCCCTGCAAGGCTTCCTGTCTTGCGCGTCACCTCTACAGTATTAATCTCAATCATTCGGTATCCATCAATCAGCATTTTGCATCTTCTCATGATGCTCTCGGTCAATGGATCTACAAAGGGCATTTACATCTTTGGAAGAGATGGATTGCCCACGCGGCAGTGATCAGTACTTTGGACCTCAGGTCGACCCTCGATGTAGACCATTCGACTTCACTCTGCTGTTCGAGGACATCTTTTTTGTCTGCTTGCCGGCTGTTTTATTTCTCATTCTTGCACCCATACAGATATGGGGTCTGTTCAGGAAGCGAGCTGCGTTTTCCGTGAGATCAAGAGCTCTCCGGCGATGGAAATCGGTTCGTCTCGCCGACTATCAATACCAAAGGTGTAACTGATACTTACAAATTCTCTGCAGATAGCTTTTGCCGCTATTCTTGTGGTACAAGTCATTTACCTTGTCTCTAGAGCTCAATATGCCGAACTGCGAACTAGAGTATCGCTTCCCGCGGATATCTTGAGCTCAACAGCTACGGTGGCAGCATTCTTCCTGTCTAGGGCAAGCCATGGACGATCGCTTCGTCCTTCAACAGTCCTTGACCTGTATCTATCCCTGTCAAGCGTCTTGAATATTGCGCGGACAAGGACCCTGTGGCTGCTAGCCGCTGGCAGCCCAGTCCCGATTCTCATGACTGTGAATCTCTCTCTCACGCTATTTGCCCTTCTATTGGAGTCTGTTGAAGAGAGAAAGCGTCTTTCAAATGGCTCACCAGAGGAGTTTAGCGGAATCTGGGCCAGAATCAGTTTTTCTTGGCTCATCCCATTGCTCAAAACAGGCTATGATAAAATTCTTTTGCAAGATGATTTACCTAATCTTGATACTAGGCTTCAAAGCAGGTTGCTGCGTCGCCAGTTGATCACAACTTGGTCTAAATGTGAGAACAGACGCCAATTCACTCTGATCTATCCAATTTTCTCTCAGAAAGCTAATACTCCCATTCTCCAGATGACCCAAAGGCTCGACATAGCTTAGTGAAAGCATGTTTTCGTACCCATCTTTCAACTTTACCTTCTGCCATGATTCCAAGATTGTGTGTCACAGCATTCACTTTTGCTCAGCCCTTTCTAGTTGAGACTACCATCAGATTCGTTGGCGACAAGAACGCCGAGCCCTATCACGGAAGGGGACTGATTGGCGCATGGGGTCTTGTGTATTTGGGCATTGCGGTAAGTCAAATTTTACCTTGCAGGCTCAAATATTCTAATGGTTCCTATACAGTTGTCAAGATCTTTATACAAGTATGAGACGTCCAGATTCATCGCTAAACTAAGGGGAGGCTTGATTGCCCTTGTGTATCAACGATGCCTAAGTATTCGCGCCGCCGACGAGGGAGATATATCTGCCGTCGCCCTAATGGGCACCGATATTGAACGTATAGCTAGTTCCATGCAGCTTCTTCATGAAACCTGGGGCTCTCTTATTGATATAGCAATTGCATGCTGGCTGCTAGAGAGGCAACTTTTTCTAGCATGTCTTGCTCCAATTGCTCTCGTGTTAGGTATAGCCCGCGTGCACCCGCCATTATTCGCTGCTCTTCATATACTGATGTTAGTGTCGCAGTCTTCATCACCATTACCTCGCAAATCTCGGTTGCTACCCAGAGTGCACAAGTAGCGTGGATAGAAAAAGTCCAAGAAAGGCTGCGTGCGACCACTTCTTTGCTTGGAGATATTAAAGCTATCAAGATGCTTGCATTGCCGCAAGTCGTATCGAGACTATTGACCAATCTCCGAGCAGACGAAATCAAGACGTCGAAAACGTTCAGAGAGCTTCTCGTTGCCACATTAATGCTCTGTATATCTTCCAAAAGATTGCCATAATACGCTTAAGCTCTGTTACTAACACACAAATATAGCACTCACACCCATGAATCTCGCTCCAGCTGCAACATTCGCTGTCTACGTTATCATATCCGTCTTCTGGACCCACGGATCCTTATTTACGACTCAAGCCTTCACTTCACTAGCTCTAATAGGCTTATTGACAGGCCCTGTGATAGTTTTCATCCAGTCCCTGCCCCAGGTTCTGCAGTGCGTGGGATGTTTTGATCGAATCCAACAATACTGCAATTACGCAGACATTGCTCTCAAAGACGAGAACTACTATGAACCCGGCCACGTTGACCTACGCGATGAATCCGAAATTCACCTCCTGTCACCGGATGGTCCTCCCGAGCCTTTTGATGCCCCGCATGACGATACAATCTCCTTGCACAGTCAGGGCTTTAAATGGAGCAAAAATGGTCCAGTCATACTCAAGGACCTTAAGCTTGATATAAGTCAAGAATCCATTACTGCAATTACTGGGCCAGTAGGAAGTGGTAAATCGTCATTGATGAGTTGCATTCTGGGTGAACTGATCGACACATCATCCCCAGAGGGTCGACCGAAAGTATCTCAGCAATACTGCAAACATGTAGCATACTGCTCTCAGCAGCCCTGGCTTGAAAACACAACCATTCGCAACAACATACTCAGCTCATTACCATATGAGAAGAGATGGTATGATGAGGTCATCTCTTCTTGCGGCCTCAATGCCGATCTGAAACGCTTTAAAAAAGGAGATAAAACGAACATTAGCAGCAGAGGCCTCAACCTGAGTGGTGGGCAAAAGCAACGCATAGTCAGTCTTGTCCTTTTCATCACCAAAAGTTTTGCAAACAACGTTAACACAAGACTCTTGATAGGCCCTAGCTCGAGCCATATACGCAAAGAAACCGATAGTACTTCTCGACGACGTATTCAGCGGCATGGATGCCCATACCATTGATGTTGTCTCCTCCCGCTTGCTTGGACATATAGGCCTTCTTCGCAGGCAGCGGGCGACTGTCGTATTGAGTACTCATAATCGTATGTAAAAGTTCTGCTGCATGATCCCTCAAATCACTCACAAGGCTATCAGGCAAAATTATGGCGCTTGCGGACACGATCATCATCCTTGAAGACGGGAAAATCATTGCAAAAGACACTTCGGCTTCCTTGCTTCAGAGCAACGGCTACGTCAATAAACTTGGATTGCAGCCCACAGATACTGGAGATGTCACTGAAACTGCCGAGGCCTCGAAATTGCCGACAGCGGAAGAGGTTTTCGATATAGCTGCCGACGTCGCCATCAACATCTCTGAAGAGACGGGTGGCAAGCATGCTGATATTCGACGTAAAAAAGGCGAGCTCTCAGTGTATGCATACTACCTTGCCAGCTCTGGCTGGTATTTTGTTGCTCTGTATAGTGTTGCTGTTGTCGGGTGGATCTTTTGCATCGAATTCTCGAGTAAGTGGCCCAAGCCTACTCTCATGTCTTATTCAACATGATGTTGACCGTACCCCAGATATATGGATGAAGTGGTGGTCCGCTGCCAATGCTGAAGAGCCGGACAAGGATATCTGGATATATCTTGGCATCTACGGCCTTCTTGGTATTCTCGGCACGATAAGTGGCTGTATTTGCGCTTGGTAATCTGCATTGCCTCCTGTGGTATAAGGCATAACACTCACTCATATATACAGGGCGGCTTTCATTTCCATCATATCGCGGTCAGCTGCTCAGCTACATTCGAATCTTTTGCAAGCAACACTAAGGTAAGTAGACGAGTGTGAAAGATCCTAGTTGCGGCGCATTGACTAATGGTTAATTAGAGCGCCGTTCTATTCTCGATCGACGAGAGATATTGGAGAGCTCCTAAATCGGTAAGACCTTTGGATTACCTTCTTTAATAATCTTCAACTATTAACCCTGTTTCATCCAGGTTCAGCAGAGATATGGAGCTTATAGACATGGAACTACCTAGCAATATGGTCAATTACACTTCCAGTTAGTTCATTGTAAGACCCTTTGAAGAAATCAAGCTAATAATTTTCTCCCAGCCCTGGTCTTATGCATAGCCAAAGTCGTCATCCTTGCCATTTTTACTCGATATCTAGGAGTGACAATTCCTTTCTTTGCCATCTTTATCTATTTCCTTCAGAGCTTCTATCTGCAAACGTCACGCCAAATCCGACTGCTCGCTATAGAGGCTCATGCACCGCTGTTTACCCATTTTAGCGAATCAATTGCAGGAGCAGTAACCATCAGGGCGTTCGGATGGCAGTCGTACCACCAGGAACGCAATTATCGCCTCATTGATGCTTCGCAGCGACCTGTCTATCTGCAGAGCTGCATCCAGCATTGGCTTAGTTTTGTGCTTGAGATTATGACTGCTGTGTTGGCAGTTCTTCTCGTCTCTACAGTCCTTATTTGGAAAGACAGGTTTAGTCCTGGAAGCGTTGGCGTGAGTCTCATCACTGTTATTGGATTCAGTGAAGTGCTGGTGCGACTTGTTCAAACTTGGACGACCTTGGAACCAAGTATTGGCGCAGTGTCAAGAGTCAAACGCTTCGCAGAGGAAACAGAGACGGAAGATCGAAGTGAAAAGGGAGTATACGTGCCAGCTACATGGCCACAGGCTGGCGTTATTGAATTCGCAGGTTGGACCGCATCTTATGGGTTCGTATCTCTCCTCAAAGATCATCTTGAAGACACTCACAGCTAACTCGTATCTGAAGTATCGCAACGGATTCCAAACCAGTACTAAACGGCGTATCGTTACTGATCGAATCTGGGCAACATGTCGCAATATGCGGTCGAACAGGCAGCGGCAAAACTTCTCTAATACTTTCCCTTTTACAGATGACTGAGATTGTCGAAGGCAGTATCTCGGTAGACGGCGTGGATCTTTCGACTCTTACCTGTGCGGAAGTGCGCTCACGTATTAATGTTGTGCCACAAGATCCCTTCCTGATGCCAGGCACCGTTCGCTTCAACGTTGATCCCTTGAACGGTGCTTCAGATGAGGACATTGTTCGCGCGCTTGAGGATGTGCGATTATGGACCATGATAGATGAGCAGGGTGGGTTAGACAAGGAGTTGGATCTATCTTCTTGGTCTGCTGGCCAGAAGCAGCTTCTTTGTTTTGCGCGGGCAATGCTGAAAAGGAGCAAGATTCTCATCTTGGATGAAGCAATGAGCAGGTAACAAAGACTACCTAATATGACAACCCCTTCTGGTTATCGCTCTCGTTTACTTTTGGCTAATATTTTCTGCAGCGTCGATAATGAGACAGAGACCATCATGCAGGAAATCATCGACACGCAATTCAAGGAATGCACCGTCCTTGCAGTGATGCATCGCCTACAGCATATTCGCCGCTACAACAAAGCTGCCGTGTTTGGGGACGGCAAGCTTTTGGAGTATGACGATCCCAAAATCCTTTTGTCTGGAGACACAAATCTCGCAAAGCTTTATTCTTTTTATGAAGGTTGATAACTGCAGCTGCATTATTATAACCAGGCTTTACTTATTCCTCAATTCCCAACGTGACACTTGATATTTGATCTCGTTGATAAGCCTCAAGTAGCCGCGATGCCCCACTTCATCATTGAGCGATCACGGAGCTTCTCCGAATTTTGACTTCCCTCCCCAATTAGGCAAGCTGTCCCAAAACCAGCCCCAACCAATTTTATGCTCCTTTTAGATTCCACATATGAAGAATGTCGCACTAAAGGCACTCTATAATTTTTGTTTTGTTTTTTTAGGTCTTCAAACGAACATAGAATTAGTCATGTCCATCTGGATCCTTCCCGCCCTCTCTATCTAAAAGCAACGTAGTACAAATAAGGCGACAAGTTTTGAGGAATCATTAGGGCTATGTGGTGGGGTGCATCAGCAGAAAAGGTCAATTGCATCCATTTTACTTGGAGAAGTAGTGGTTCTCATCGACGGTACGTCCGCGGATGTACTGGGGCTCGGAGCCGGGAACGTAGATGTCCTCGAAGAGAATCTCGGCCTTGGCGTCAGGGATGGACATGGCCTCAGCAGCGGCAACCTCCTCGGCAACGTGGCTTCGGGCAGCCTTGTCGATGCTCTTGAGCTCCTCCTCGGTGCTGACCTCCCAGTCGAGGATCTTCTGCTTGAGTCCGGCAATGGCATCGTTGGTGGAGCGCATGCGCTGGATCTCCTCACGGGTACGGTAGGTGGTGCCGGGGTCGGACATGGAGTGACCACCGTATCGGTAGGTGACGTATTCGAGAACCATGGGGCCCTTGTCGGCAGCAGTCCATTCCTTGCCGTACTTGACAGCGGCCTTGACGGCAAGAACATCCATACCGTTGACCTTGAGGCCGGGGATGTACTGTCCACGCTTGTAGTAGTCGGTCAAAGCAGAGGAACGAGCAGCAGAAGTACCCATACCATACTTGTTGTCTGTGGCATGTCTGTTAGCCCTGCATTGCGTCACACGATACAAAAAAAATTGTCTTCAAAACTCACTCTCGCAGCCAAACAGAGCAGGAAGGTTCCACAGCTTGGCCATGTTGAAAGCCTCAAAGACCTGGCCCTGGTTGCTGGCACCGTCACCATACAGAATGACACTGGCGTTCTTGCGGCCGCTGTACTTGTGGGCGAAAGCCAGGCCAGCGCCAACAGGGACCTGAGCGCCGACAATGCCGTTACCACCGTAAAAGTTCTTGGCGAACATGTGCATGGAGCCGCCCTTTCCGTAGGAGATACCCTCACGACGGCCGAGAAGCTCGCCGATGATGGATCGGACAGAGCCACCACGCATCATGGCGAAACCGTGGCATCGGTAGGCAGTGATGATGTCGTCCTCCTTGGTGATGGCATGCTCGATACCAACAGCAACAGCCTCCTGACCAGTAGACAGGTGGCAGAAACCGCGGATCTTCTTCTCCTTGTACAAGCGATCGGCAGCCATCTCCATCTGTCTGAGCGATTATTAGTACTCTGCACGGCAGGTGGCTCTGAAGGTGCTTCTTGCTGCATACCTGATGGCAACCATCTCGTAGTACATCTGCTTCAGCTCCTTCTTAGTCACCTCAATTGTGTAAGGCGGAGGGTCCAGCTCGTAGGTCTCGAAGCTCTCGTCGCTGAGAGTAACCTGGAAGGGCTCATCATCGGACTATACGGGATAGCTGTCAGCCGCCGCTTCACAATTCCATTCACAGCCATTGGCCTGCAAAACAAAGTCCCCCAATCCACCGCATTCCCGCACATTGCATGCGAGCAAAGAAAAAGCGCATTGAGCATACCTTGGGCACCGACTGGGAGAGAGACGCTGAAGCGGCATCGGTGGTGACGGATCGGGCGGCGAGGGCAAAGGCCGCAGGGGCTCTGGTGCGCAGAGGCAGAGCCCGGGGGGCTCGAAGAGCTGCTCTGGAGAACATCGCGACGGCTTGCGTCTCTGGGAAGTTCTGTGGAGGGAATTGGCGAGGAAGATGGCAAAAGATCTCTCCAAGCTAATAAGCTTCCGAAATTTCGCAGTGTTGAGTATAGAGGTTTGATTGTTGGATAGAGCTAGGCCGGGATGGGACTAGGGCGGGAATCTCACGCGTGGGGCAGGAGAAAAAGAAGAAAAAGGACAAATCATTGGGGCCGCAGATACTCCGAGCGATACTCGGATGCTTTCGTAATACTGCGTATTATTTCGTATCTGCTACGAGTACGGAGTACGAGTCTTTGTGAAGCACCTACCCTAGAGCATGGTCACGTGAACACGGCGCGTCTCGTGATTTCCCCCCCGGACGCGAGATTCAATTAACGCGATTCTGCCTGCTGAAGCGCGTCATGCTATTGACGGAGCTGACCAGGAAGAGCTGTTGGTGCCTGGCCACCACCACTAATTCGGCCGCTTTTCTTCATCATAAATACAGCTCCGTTTTCGCTTTGGGTCGCCTGAGATTTGCATCATCTCAATTGGTTCGTCGTCAACCGGTCTCGACAAGAGCATTGTATAACGTCATGGCTCCGAAGCAGGCGACTCTGGGGTATGTGAAGTCAACGCAGCAGACGATTGGGTGTGTCGATGGGAATGCTGCATGCAATGCGAGCTTTGCTAATCACGATGGGCGTCTAGGAAGTTCTTTGGGGCGAAGAGTAGTGCGCCGGTGAGGCAGACGACGCTGGCTTTTGCGACTAAGGCGGGGAGCAAGGAGACTGCCAAAGTCAAGGCTGAGGAGGATGGGTCTGAAGGTGACGCAAGTACAAAGGAAAATTCAGATCCAGAAAAGGGTAAGATGCTTCGTTGCTTCCCTTTGTTCGGCCACGATTGACTCATCGTGAAAAGATTCAAAAAAACGGCCGCGATCACCAAAGAAGGGCAAGGAAGCAAAGGCAGCAGAGGTTGAGACCAAAGTAGACGAAGATGAGGAGGACGCTCCTGTTACGAAAAGAGCCAGACGGACACGGGTAAAGATTGAGGATGATGAAGACGAGGCTCCCCAATCGCCCCCAAAATCCCCAAAGAAGGAAGAAGCTCCAAGCAGCCCTCCTGCCAAGAAGAGGAGATCGCCGAGCCCCAAGTCAAGCCCCAAGTCGAGATCCCAATCGCCGAAGCCAGCTAAAGCAACAAAGGAGAAGAAAAATGCTGTGGTTAAGGAGGACGCTGACGAGGTGATGAAGGACGAAGCATCTTCAGAGTCTGCGTCAGAGGTCGAAAGTGATACGGAAGAAAAGAAGGCTGTTACTGCCAAGGCACGCAAAGCTCAGCAGACAATGCTCCAGAAACATGAAAAGGACCCATATCCCGATTGGACAGCTGGTACCCCTGTACCATACGCAGCTCTTTGCAAGACGTTTTCTCTCATTGAGCTGACCACGAAACGATTGATCATTATGGAGCATTGTTCGCGCTTTCTGCGTCAGGTTATGCGGCTCACTCCCGATGACCTGTTGCCCACGGTCCTTCTCATGATCAACAAGCTTGCTCCTGATTATGCGGGCATTGAGCTCGGTATCGGTGAATCTCTCATCATGAAAGCTATCGGCGAAACGACTGGAAGAAGCCTGCAGGTTATAAAAGCTGATCAGAAAGAGATTGGTGACTTGGGTCTTGTAGCCGTCAAGAGCAGATCAACACAGCCAACCATGTTCAAGCCCAAACCATTAACTGTGAGAGGTGTCCATCAAGGATTGATGGGCATCGCGACAGTAACTGGTAACGGTGCCCAAGGCCGCAAAGTCGATGGAATCAAGAAGCTTTTGTCCTCCTCCGATTCTCACTTGAAGGAAAAGGTAGACATCACCAAGGATAAGGGCGGCCCCAGCGAAGCAAAATACATCATCCGATTTTTAGAGGGAAAACTTCGACTTGGCCTAGCAGACCGGACTGTTTTAGTTTCATTAGCCCAAGCCGTTGTAGCCCACGAAGCAGAGGTCAAGGGCAAGATCCCCAGCACTACAGATTTGGAGAACGGCGAGTCTATTCTCAAGACGGTTTACAGGTTTGTGCTCGATGACGATTTTGTTTACGAACTTGAAACTAATCCAACGTAGCGAGCTCCCTAGCTACGATGTTATTATCCCAGCCATGCTTCAATACGGCATTGCCAATCTGAGAGAACACTGCAAGCTCCGCCCTGGTGTGCCCTTGAAGCCTATGCTGGCCAAACCAACCAAAGCCATCACAGAGGTTCTGGACCGGTTCGAAGGCCAGACATTTACATGCGAGTACAAATACGATGGTGAACGTGCTCAGATTCATTATGTGTCCAAGGACGCTCCACAAGGCTCAGGAGTCTCATCTATCTTCTCTCGCAATTCAGAAGATCTATCCAAGAAGTATCCTGACGTTCTTGAGAAGCTGAATACGTGGGTCAAGGAAGATACAAAGAGCTTTGTTCTTGATTGCGAAACCGTCGCTTGGGATGTTACGGAGAAGAAGGTGTTACCTTTCCAGCAACTCATGACTCGCAAGAGAAAAGATGTGAAAGCCGAGGACATCAAAGTCAAGGTTTGTGTCTTTGCCTTTGACCTGTTATATTTGAACGGAGAAGCTGTTGTGGAAAAGTCGCTTCGTGAGCGAAGAGAACTTCTCAACACTGCGTTTGCTCCAGTTGAGGGTGAATTTGCATTCGCAACGCACATGAATGGCCAAGAGCTGGACGAGATCCAAACGTTCTTGGATGAGAGTGTCAAGGCATCTTGTGAGGGTCTGATGGTGAAGATGTTGGATGGCAAGGAAAGCGGATATGAGCCCAGCAAACGAAGTCGAAACTGGCTCAAGGTGAGCATGATTCTCTGTAGAAAAGTTGTGCTCAGTTTATACTAACGCTGTGAAATAGATCAAGAAGGATTATCTCTCCGGTGTTGGTGACTCCTTGGATCTGGTTGTCCTGGGGGCCTACTATGGCAAGGGCAAACGAACATCCGTCTATGGTGCTTTCCTCCTTGCCTGTTACAACGCTTCAACCGATACATACGAAACTGTCTGCAACATTGGCACTGGTTTCTCAGAGCAAGTCCTCGAGGACCTCTATGCCCAGCTTTCACAAATCACAATCGCTCGCCCCAAGCCGTTCTACTCACACTCCACAGGTGGACAGCACCAGCCCGACGTGTGGTTCGAGCCACGCTACGTATGGGAGGTCAAAACGGCAGATTTGACACTCAGCCCTCGCTACAAGGCGGGATGGAAAGAAGGCGTAGACCCAGCTGGCGAGAAGGGCATCAGTCTAAGATTCCCTCGCTTCATCAAGATCCGGGATGATAAAAAACCAGACGAGGCAACCTCTAGCAGGCAAGTTGCGGAAATGTACAGGAAACAGGAGAGTGTGACGAAGAGCAAGGGCCCTTCAGTGGATGACGACTTTGAGTATTAAAATAGAGGCTATCGCTGGGTAATCTACGTATGTACCGATATTTATTGGGGTGGCAGGTTTTGGGTTTATCATTAAGAGGGTGCTTTTTTTTCTGTACGAGTTATGAGATGCATTGATTAGATACTCTGCCATTGCATATTATTCATATTATTATTGCTATTTTCTGGGGGACAAATCTGCCTGCTGATGGCGCGCATTGTGTGTGATATTTTCAGTTTATTCAACATTACGGCTAGCTGTCCAGGATAGCTTCCAAAATCATGTCTACAAATCTAAAGAACTCAATATACCGCAAAACGACCTTTCAACTCCATGTCCATCCTTATAATATCGACCCCCTATCCGTATCATCTGCGTCATCCGGTCTCAGTAGGCCCCTCTGTTCCTCATCTCTACCATCTTCGTCCATAATGCCGCTCTCTTGCTCTCTCACCCTGGATCCAGATCCAGAAGAGGCAGAGAGGCCGACGGTACGTCTCGTTTCATCTGCTCCATTGAGGACATACCAAATATCCTTTTTAGTAAGCAGGCCTTGCAAGACGCCCCGATCTGTGAAGAGCATGTATCGAAGGCCCAGCTTCTGGAAGTAAGACACGACGAGATGCAAAGGCGTGCGAGACGGCAAGGTAAGCGGCGTCTGATCCATCCACGGCCGAAGATCGAGCGAAGTGCGCGGGTCTGCGAGGGGCTGGTGCGAAAAGTAGGCCTCTGTCTCTGGGGGCAGGCTCCGCGGAGACTGGGACGCGGTCTTCAGGTTATAGCTGAGCTCGGCGCGGGAGATGTAGCCCAGCAGAATGGCCTCTCGAGGGTCGGAGATGACGGGAAAGCCGCGGCAGGGATGCATCTCGAGGATGCTGCTGAGCGAGGCCATGGTGTGTCCCGTGGCGGTGAGGACGACGAGGTCTTCGATGCGAGTCATAATCTCGGCGACGGGGACATCGGGGATTGCCACTTCTTCGCTGTTGTCGAGGAACGGGTATTCGTTGAAGTGAATCCAGGACTCGTAGATGCCGCGTCGTGAGAAGGCGTCGCCGACCCATTTGGAAATCATGACGGCGACCATGATGGGCAGGACGTATGTGAGAGCACCGGTGAGCTCGAACATGATGACGACGATGGAGACGGTCATGCGTGTGACGCCTGCCAGAGCTGCTGACGCCCCGACGATGGCATATGTAGCGGGTGTGATGCATGGCACGTCAGGGGCACACGTCTTGAACAAGAAGAAGCCGCGAGCGTTGTCCACCCAAATCTCCATCAAGATACCCATAGCACGGCCGATCAAAGCGCCAATGGCCATGGACGGCAAAATGATGCCAGCAGGAATCTGCAGTCCAAACGTAATGGTGGCAAGGAGGAAGCCGACGAGAGCGGCAAAGATTAGGAGAACAATAGTGCCTGCCGATGCTGCGCCAGTTTTGCATAAACCAATTTGGTCATCGAGGTTCTGAGAGCACTCGGTAAACAGATTGGACACAAGATCAGAAGTCTGGAACTTCATGTAGTGGTTCGGGTAGTTTACGAGGGCAGTGAGGAAGGCCACGGCCAGGACTTGGGTGATGGGACTTGGGAGCCAGGACTTTGCCTTTTTCCATCGGGCGACGGCCATGTTGGCTTTGATGAAGAGGCCACCGTAGACGCCCTATATGATACAATCGTCAGTCCAGGGTGGAAGTGCAAGGCGACAGCGAAAGGCTACTTACACCAATGATGCCCAGGATGGCATACGGCAAAATCTCAAAGCCTTGCCAGTCATGGCTATACTTTGTCTGATACATGACGAGCTTGCCGGATCTAAAGGGGTCAAAGGCCTGAAGAATAACTGCGGCGGCCATGGCGCAGACGAAGCTCTGCCACATGGTCTTGTCCGGGAAGAAGTAGGAAATTTGCTGTTTCAAAATCAGAATCTCCTCCATGTCAAGATTTAGCAGATTTCATACCTCAAGACTAAATAGCACTCCTCCTATGGGGGCTCCAAAAGCGACTGAGATGCCTGATGCTGCCGCCGCGGAGAGTACCTCTCGTTTACGAGCTATCGGGTTAGGTTAGCAGATAGCAAGGCAATTGGTTAGATACCAATGATATTTGACTTACCCTCGTTGTCATTGATATTAGAGAATAGCTTGATAAAGATGTTGGCGCAGCAACATGCTACATGCACCAGAGGGCCCTCCTTTCCTAGCCACATGCCCGAAGACACAGCAAGAACCTGTCCAAGTCGGTCAGCGATGGTAATCGATAGAGTGGAATAATAGACGAATCTTACCAAACCAAACGACTTTGTCACTAGAGTCCACGGGCCCAGAAACTTGCGAATGACGAATCCTCCCAAGACGGTCTTAATCTCGGGGATACCACTGTGCTTAGCATGGATGGCATATTCCTGCACGAGCAGTGCCGCACAGTATGCGAAAAGGACCTGTCCAGACACGCCAGGTCAGTACGCCCCAAAACCGCATCATCGCAAAAGGAATGCCGCATACCCCGAAAGCCAGGAAGAAGAAGTACTCGATGAACCACTTGCCCGCGCCCGAATGGATGCCCAGAGCCTCGCTCCAGAATCTCCATCCGGCGCACTTGGAGCCCTGGTCGTAGCCAAGGCAGCAAAAGTTCTTGTTCAGATAGAAGTGGCCGCCCTCGGGACCGCTAGTACAGAAGCCAAGTTTAATATCGCCAAGCCAGTCGGTCGTGATATCGATCAGCGCCGCAATCACGCCGACCGCCAAGCCCGTCAACAGCAGCACGATCCAGACTTGGCTGGCGTCCAAGAGGTGTCTGACATAGCCAATGATGCCGCCGCCCGAGCTCGACGACAGCACTCGCAGGCGCTGTCGCTCTTTTGTGTATTCGAAGATCCAGTCGATGGCTGTCAGGTCGTCGTAGCCAACTCGGCGCCCGGGGCCCTCGGCATACCAATCGTGGGCGAGGCCATCTTTCGAGCTGGCTGCCGTTGCGCTTCCAAAGACTTGCTCCCGCAGCGACCCAGAGACGCTGTTCAGCGAGTCGGACGGCTGGTGTCTGCTGCTGCTGGGAGGTCGCTTCTGCGGTCGCGGCGGCGAGGCGGATGAAGAGCCCGTCAGGTTAGAAAAGACTCGCAGCGGGTTGGACAGCAGCGCGGGCTTCTGCTTGCGCTTAAAGGACAGCGGCGCACCCAGATCGCCATGGATCGGGTCGTGGTCGAGGATGTCGCTGTCGTGGTCGCTGTCGTGGTCGCGGTCGTCGAGGAAGTCGAGCTCGTCGGACGAGTCCGGTGTGATGATGGCGGGCGTCTGCGAGGATGATGAAGCTGAAGGCAATTGGTCGTGGGCTCCAGACATGATGCGACACTCTATCCCATCTTCTGCTGGCCTGATTCACCGAATCGAAGCTGCGAATCTCGAATCGCCGTTGGAGGAGCCGAAACCAGCGCAGCGCAAGGGCGGGAGGGGCGGATGGTGATTGGCTGGAGGGGCTTTACAGGGCCTTTGCACAGTGCTTTGCGCCTGAGACTCCAGCCTGAGGACGAGTTTCTACTGCTTCAGTGGCATTGATAGCTTCAAATACTTGCATGTCCACTTATTCATAACATCAACAACTAGAAATTATTTCATATTTTGAAATTCTTCTCATCAGCCTGTATATTTATCTCCTCGCCCACAACAGCAAACAGATACACATCCTACTGAAACTACAATGCCGAATCCAGGTCCTATCGCATATTAAGTGGCTTATCAGTCATCAGCTTGAACAGCAAAAAAAATTCAAATAACACAATAGCAAAATGGACTCTCAAGACGACAAAGCAGAGGCATCGCCATCTACGACACCTAACCCTAAACAAGATGAAGCCAGCATTTCCAAAATCCAGACTCTCCTCCAAGCACAAGACGACACCCAGCGATTTGTTGGATTGGCTCTTCTCAAATCCGTCCTAGACAACTCTCCCAGCCTCCAACAAAACGATGAAGTTCTGCAAAGATTATGGGACAGTCTCCCGGCCAAATTCCTAGACAGGTTGCTACGCACTGGATCAAATCCGTCGAAACGGGACTCCAAAGAGATGCTCGACTTGGCTGTGTCTGTTCTGCACACCTTTGTTGCTCTCTTGCCTGCTGAGGCGACGTCTCAGCCCAAGTTTACAGATAGGATTCCCAGACTCGTCGGTGCCGTGTTATATGGGTTCGTCCGTCATTCAACTGTCTCGAGTGCACTCGCTAAGTTTACAAACAGGTCTGAAGAAACGGTCAAGATGCTTTTACAGCTGCTTCATGCCCTCGTGAGCTCTCAGGAGGGTGCTATGGCACTTGTGAAAGTGGAAGACTTGAGCTCCATTACGGAGATTGCGCCATCGCACGCCGTTGCAATGGATATCCTGCGACATGCTTGGCTAAACGCCATGGTGGTCGTAGACGACACATCATACTTGGCTGATCGTATAGATCGCAATGTACAGGCTCTGGTATCGTCATTCCGAGGCACCGACGCCGTGACATTTCTTGAGTTTCTAGGGCTGCTGCTACGGCAAGCAAGCTCAGAAGTATGTTGATTTTATCCAGAATTCATAATTTACATCTGCTAACTCGAAGTGAAATTGTTCGGTTTAGATCATTCCACCAAATCCGAAATGGCTAAACTCCGTCATCAGCTTCATTCGAAATCTCGTAACCAGTCGGCCAAACTCAGCAGCGCGGTCAGCATACACAAACGCCGCCGCATCTCTCCTCCGGATGTATCCTAAAGAAGCCTCGGAGTTGATATTCAAGGCGGAAAAAAGCGATGAGAAGCCATTCTCCTATCTATTCGTCAATCTTCTTCTAATCGATATCCGCTCATCGGCACCTTTATTGCTAGAGCAGCTCAACAAGCCAGAGTATCCAAGCATGTCTCGCAGGCTCGCTTCTTCATTCGACATTATATGCATCTTCATCGGACATTTGGTTCGCTCATTGGAAGATGAGTCACTCGAGACCCTAATCATGTCACCGGACAATCTTCTCAAGCTCCGAAAGAGTATATCAGAAACCATGTCTGTCACCATCGAGTACCTTCGTGATCGGTGGGACGCCACATTTGCTGGGGCCATGGGGCTTCATCCAGATGCTCGAACCGGGAAGGCGGAAACTTCGATGGGATCACGGCTTACTCTCACATGGGACTCTCTAGAAAACATCGCTGATGAAGATCCTTTCATTCTCTCGGCTGTGAGGGCCCTCGCCATATGGCTTCGTGAGGACGAAAACGATATGTTGAGGAAGGAAGCCACTGGCTTGACAGACATGTTTATGGACCTCTACCGCGGCAGTTCAGCCGAGAAGCTCGACTTTCGATCTCCCGTCCTCGTCGCCCTCGAAGGTCTAGTCACATTCGACAAGGGCCGCAATATTCTTCTCCAACACGACGGTTGGAAAACGTTAAGCAAAGACCTTGTCGAAATCCTCCAGCAGGATGCCTCTGCCATTAGCGAGGACGAGACATCTCGCGGCATCGAAATCGTCCGTGTGTTGCTCCAAGTTGTGGAGCAAAGCAGCGATACAGTCGAAGAATGGATGAGCCTCGTCACGGCGGTGGCGGCGTGGGATGTCTTTCGGGAGCGACATGCTCGTCCTCTGGTTTTGGAACTTCAAGTTGCGGGTTTGCAGCTTTGTTGTGCGTTGTTGATAAAGGCGAGTCTTGGTATGAGGAAGAGATATACGCATTCTATTAGTGCGCTTGTGGGTATTGCGACGCAGCTGGAAGGAGGGATTCCGAGGGGCAGCTTTTTAAGGGAGGCTATTGACGATGTATTAGAGGTTCTAGGGGGGTTGTCACGTAGCATATGAAGGCATAGCGTAGTATCTCACGGGAAGTTATCAAGTAATATAGAGGTGAGATACAAAACATCCGGCTCAATACTTATACAAGATTTCAGTGCACATATTGCTGGTAAACAAGATAAAATCACTAGCCTCCGAACATTCTTTCCCATCAGCTCGCCTCAGCAGCCTCCTTTTCTGCCTGAGCAGCAGCCGCCGCCGCCGCCGCCTCCGCCTTTGCCCTCTTCTTCTTCGCCCGACGGATCTCAATCTCGACGTCCGCTATCCGGGCTTTAATAGAGGCGATTCGCGGGATGATCTGCTCTACCATCTGGATAGAGAGAGACTTGGCTTCTCGAAGGGGGGCAGGGACAAGGAGGCCGAACCGGTTCAGAGGATCCCTGTTCACCTTCTTTGTCTTTTTCTTGTCCTGCTCCTCTTTGTCTTCATCTTTGCCCTCGGGACTGGCTTCAGAATTTTCCTGGGCGGCGGCGGCGGCGCTCTCTCCTTCAGGGCTGTCCTCCTGTTTCTCATCCTCCTCTTGATCTTCTTCATCGGGAGGAGAGTCCAACTTCTTGTAGGTGAATACCGGTACACCATCTTCTCCATCCGTGATTTTTATCCCTCTTGTTGCGCGCATCGCCCCGTTAAAGTGGTCTGCGTCATATCTCATTCCCCGCTCGCCAGCGAAGTTTGCTTTGGCCAAGTTTAGGTGCACGCCTGATGTCAGCTTTGATAGCTCTAGTTGCAGTGCCTCATATTCGTGTACGAGGTTTAAAAGACTCGCAAGGAGTGAGTCGATGTGGTCTTGATCCATTTTGAGGTTTTTTTTTTTTTTGGGGGGGGGGGGGGGGCTGGGCAGCTTAGGTGAGGTTGAAAAGGCGAAGTTGAAGAGGTGAAGTTGAAAAGGCGAGGTGGAAGCTGAGGTTTAAATGTTGAGGTTGAAAAGTTGACGTCAAAGGGAAAGGCGACGTCAAAAGAAAAGGCGAGTTTCGGAGATCCATGGTGGGGGATAAGCTGAGCCACCTAATTCGACGATGCAACTCGAGACTGCTCTTTGTTTGCTACGATGCAGAGGCTTCTGCCTATTCACGGTTCACAAGAAATACAAAGGCATGATTTTCTGTCGATTAGCTATCTGATTCAGCATGAAGGAAAATTGCTATGATGTGGTCATGCTCAACACAGAATCAGCCGTCGCAATCTCCAACAACAAAAAAGACACGATTGTACTTGCAACGTGAGGCTCTGCTTGCCCCACCACTAAATGCTACATTCGTTGAAAGCCCATCAATGAATCAGTATAAAGAGGAATATGCACATAAACTACATATGCGTCGTTCAAAGCGCAAATAATTTATTCAGCTAGGTTTGCAGATGCTCTGCTCTTAATGTCGTGCTGGGCCATGCGTTATAAAATCACATATGCATGTAGGGTAGCCTCTAATCAAAGAGAATTGCTAAAGGAAGCAGGCTAGCCACCATCCTGTATACATGTAACTTCAACCTCCTACACTCTCTATCAACCCGGTCCTTATTATTGTAGCAAGCGTTCTGTCACCCCGAAGCACAAGTCGAGCAATTACATCACACAGTCCTGACACAAAGCTCATGGCAGCCGATGTGGGATCACGGGCAAATGCATTCATCTCCCGCCACCGTCGTCTAGAATATCGATGTGTTACGCCATCATCAAGGTTGGCGACATCAAAAAAGACGACGACACCCCCTTCCAGCGCTAGATGGCTCTCACCGGTTTCGGTGAGCTGCAAGAGCGCATTTGCAGAGTAGCACGACAGGGAATCTGGTGTGGTCAGGTGCATATGGCGGCGACGTGCAATCTACACTTCCCCTTCATTTTACGACGCACAGCTCCATACGAGGTAATGCTACTAGCCACATCTCTGCGGCGTGGAAACAATCGGGTGATTGCCGTCTGGTGTGTTTCGTATCGCGCTGAGGAGATTACCTATGTTTGATTGCCGACGCAGGAGATAGATGAGAGGACGGGGGGGCCCCCAACACAAGCTGTACTTCATACGCACAGTATCTCAGAAGCCAAGACAAGTGATCCGGTGAGAGTAAGTACAGGTACAGCTACGACGGCTTGGTTAGTGGTGAGCTCGTTCATTTTAATTACACAGGCGCCCAAGCTAGAGCTCCAAAGGATTGCTCCATTTCACGCCGGCAGATCGAGACAGGGATGCGAAGGGGAGCAAGAAGGAAGCCCCAACGGTGATTTCACCTGATGGCGGGAAACGCTCGCTAGGAGAAAAAAAGCATATCTCGTTAAGGAGGCAGCTCACGTGCGCTATTAGACGAGGAGTATCAAGGATCTGAAAGATGGAAAAGGACATGGAGCATCTTTGATAGGGAGAGATTGAGGCCTGACCGTTAAAAATAGCGTGGCTACCCGTCCATGCTTTCTTCCGTTTCTTTTTGGTCCCCTGTCTGTAAGAGGCACGCGCTCTGGTATCATTTTCCTGCAGCGAGATGATGGAGATGCAAGATGCGTAGTGTCGAAATTTGATTTTGCAGCTCTTCATTCCTTTTCTTCCTCTTCTTCTCGCTTTCTTGTTCCCTTTACTGGTGCCTGTTATGCGGAGTAGACAGAGCCACAGCTGGCTGCATGGGCTGAAACTTGGGTTTTGCAGTAGCTGGTTTGGCAGATGGGCTTGCAAGGGGCCCGGGAAGAAGCCCCGAGAGCACGATCCTGGCGATTAGCTTCTAGGCTTTGACCTCTGTTTCTCTTTAATGGTTGATTTTCGAGGGCTGCATCGCAATTTTACCCGGTAGAACTCGACTGTGTATCGGAGAGTAGAGTTTTGTGTGGCGTTGAGAACACGGCAATTTTGTGTTACTTGTCCGTGGAAAGGACATGTAGGTCTACCTACCTTGGCACCTTGCTCAATACCTACCTAGCAGGTAGATACGAGAGCTCAGATACTGGACAGGAGAAGTTGCAGGCAATGGGCCATTTACGTCATCTCTCTGTAGCAATCTGCATTCGCAAACAAGTCAAGAGCCAAAGGCTGCTTTTGCTCTGATATCCCTTGTTTCACGCCAACTGCGGCCGCGCTCCACATGATATTCCTGGTACCTGGTACCACGCGGGAGTTCTGTGAACTGTGGGCGCGCATATGACGGTTTTGGTCGGCCCAAAGTACAACTACCTGTGCCGGGCTCATCCACTCCAAACAAGACCGTGCCCGTGCTGCCACTTTTACGGAGGCAGACAGCCAGCAGCTTGATCCGGATCAAGAGGTTGGAAGCCCCCAAACTAATGCCTTGAAAACCTGTACTCGTATAGCAACTGTGAGGGCCATGTGATTGTACGACGTGGCCTGTGCAAGCTACCTGTGCAGTATCATCAAAACAAAACTTGTCTCTTCTCCTTTAATCGCGACATGACCCAACCAACCGCCGCCTCCTGGCAAATCAGCTAGGCGCAAGCTCAGCGAACCAGCCTCTTCTTCTCCCCGGTCCGCCGTTGTCGCGCATTGAGCAAGCCCCCCAATTACTGCTAGCCCAAATCCCCAATCCCAATCCCAATCCCAATTCCATCCCCCCCTTCAGCCACCCGCCTGGGTGCATGCTGCACGCGTCCAATGGGCACAGGATGCCCGCTGTTGCTACTGCTGCTGAGAGGATTCACAACTAGACGGGTTTAGTATAGCAATATACGAGTAGTATAGTACAGTGTATCAAGACCTGGTAGACATCAACTCCTTTCCTCGACAGAATCAAATCAAATCAAATCAATCAATCCAGTCGGCGGAGAGGGCCAGGCGCAATCAATCCCCACCAATCACCCTGCTTGCTTCACCGAGCCAGCCCATCACCAACCCCGTCCGCCTCTTTGTGTGTGTCTCTCTCTCTGCTGGTTCCATTGTTAGCATGCCCTGAACTTCACTAGCACTGCTGCGTATTACTCGGTGACGGTAGCTGCTAGCAGTTGACCATCTCGCCCAAACGAGGCCAAGCTCCGCCAAAAGCTTCCTGTCCCGTCTCCTCCTTGCCCCCCAGTTTCCCCCCCAGTCCCAGTCCAGTCTGGCCAGCACACACAGTTGAGCACAGGCTCAAGGCATCTGCCAGCACCGGCTAATTCGTGCTGTGCTGTCTGGTATCTCGTCCACTGGTCCTACACTCCTCGGTGCTACTTGACTAAATGCCCACGTACTAACAACACTTTCAACCTTCCATCAATTGGTACCTCCTCCCCATCCAGCCCCATTGAAGGCTCCAGTCCTTAGCAGAGCACCCAACTAGACACCCACTGAAGCTTTTGTCTGCCCCCGGAAACTTGCCTCGCCTCACCTCACTTTCTCCCCCCCCATCGTGACAAGCTTCCCACCAAAGCAGGCCATTTTCCCTCTTGATAAGCCCGCCTACCCGCCCAGCGCATCCACTTACTGGCCTATCCAGCCTATTACCTGGACCAACCACCGCCGCTACTGCTGCTACTGTCACTACGACTCTCTCCCGCCAAATTAATCTTCAACTCCAAAACTCCAGAGCCTCAATTCGCAGCATCAAAACCTCGTCCTCGCATCTTCCCTCCCCGCGGCACGCGCTGCGATAAGGCATCTCGGCCTCCATCTTGCCCTCCGTCGTCAGGCCTCCCTCTTCGTCAAGGAACCGCATAAGCAGCACCACCATGGTGGTCGCAACCATCAAGTACGATCTGCAAGCCCCTCTGCCATGCTGCATTCCAATCCCCTTTGCATCTGCCTCGTTTCTCCCGCTTCCTCCTGGTGCTTCTTCTTCGTCGCCCTCCTCCTCTTTTGATCTGCCTGCCATGTCGGCATCTTGGGGGGTTCGTTGTGCATCTTTCGGATGCCATCGTCCCTCTCCCCGACCTGCTGACAGGGAGGGGGCGGTCAATGAAGCTGCGATCCCTCTGCCTCTCCTGCTGCAGCACACCTCGACCGGGTTGCATTTTTCATGATGGCTAACCTTGCAATTCGCTTCCAGGTGCGTTGTCGTCGGCGACGGTGCCGTTGGCAAGACATGTCTTCTCATTAGCTATACCACAAACAAATTCCCTTCGGAATATGTGCCGACCGTTTTCGACAACTATGCCGTCACCGTAATGTGAGTGGCATCCCCCCTCCCCATTTCCTAGTAGAGGGAAAAATACAAGGAAAGGCTAGGAGAGAGCAAGGCTTTCTGAGTATCGGTCGATTGATTTCTACCACCGCGCATCGAGCGACAATGGAGAAAGACATGCAAGAAATAAATCAAACACTCCTCTGCAGTGGAAAGATGGCCTAGCACTTCTCCTGGCGAAACTTTCCGTCGAGCCAAATGACCTGGTTCGAGGGACTCGATGACTGACTGGCGCTCGATAGGATCGGTGATGAGCCTTATACCCTGGGACTCTTCGATACGGCTGGACAGGAAGATTATGACCGACTGCGTCCCCTTTCATATCCCCAAACCGACGTGTTCCTCGTCTGCTTCAGCGTCACCTCGCCTGCCTCGTTCGAAAACGTCCGCGAAAAGTGGTTCCCCGAAGTCCACCACCACTGCCCCGGTGTCCCTTGCCTCATTGTCGGCACTCAGGTTGACTTGCGAGACGACCCCAGCGTCCGAGAAAAGCTTGCCAAGCAGAAGATGTCCCCTGTCCGCAAGGAGGATGGCGAGCGTATGGCGAAGGACCTGGGCGCTGTCAAATACGTCGAGTGCAGTGCGTTGACGCAGTTTAAGCTCAAGGATGTGTTTGATGAGGTATGTTGCAATGAGATAATCCTTGAGAAAGGGAAGGAAAAAGAAAAAAAAAGAGGGAGAGAAATACAGAGCGAAAAACATACAGAGAAAGAGAGAGACAGAGTCTATTGGTGTTTGAAAAGTTCCGCGCTGACCCAACCCCATTATAGGCCATTGTTGCTGCTTTGGAACCTCCCGCGCCCAAGAAGAAATCCCACAAGTGCCTTGTTCTATAAGCCATGAGTCTCAGGAAATTGCGTCATAGGATATTGCCATTGTTTCACTCAATGGTCGGTTGACCAGAAGGGATGGGTTCTGGATACATGGACGAGGTCAATTGGAGACGGGTGGATGTGTTTGGACGGGGTTGATAGACTTGGACGAGTTGGGCTTGCCTACCCACGACGGTTGATATCACTGGCAAATAGGGGGTTGTGATTTACTTGTTTCCGTCAAGGAAATCGTGCGATGGATTTTCCCCTGTGCCTGGTCATGGCAAAAGCAAGACCTCGTCCGCGATGGGCACGAAATGGGTAGTGGCGAAGAGCTTCCTAGATGCGGCCTGCTGCGTTGTCGGCAGTCCTTGCCCGTGCCTCTCCGTCATTACTCAATGGCCTCGAGACCAGAGGCCGGATCTACGTTCCCGTCCATTCTCGTTTCTCTCTATATTTTGGGCCAGGGAACTTATAAAATGCAGACAGGCATGTTTCGATAGGAAAGTTTGGCGATTAGGAGTGCAGTTAAATTGACCGGACCTTTTGTTATGCCCATTTTTCTTTTTCTCTCTTTCCCTTTCTTCTTTTCTTATTTGTGATGCCAAGCTATGTATTCAAGACCTGTGAAGTGACTCTGGGGCCAAGATCTGCTCTGCCTGTCCAGTATCCCTTCCACTTGGTAAGTGATTGTTGAGCACAATGCTGGGGTTGATGACAATTGATGACAACAATTGAGCAGTTGCTGAATAGGTAGCTTTTATTCTTTACCCCCACGTTTCTTCATCGATGCGCTATGTGCATGTAGAATTGCCCCATACATCCTTACTACCGCGGCATCAACGGACGCAAGACTCAGGGTCTATGGTTAACGACATAGGGCGTCATCACCAGCATCAAAACAGTCAAATGCGCCTCAAAGGGCGTTATCTGTCATGATGGACCTCTCCGGCTAAGGTTATTCCCATCCTTTATTCTCTCTAATCGGCGCTGCGGTCCACCCGAAAGGGCAGTTCGGGGTCATTGCATGTAATCCAAAGAGGGGGTTCTCCACCATTGCTGCTTCAAATCCAGCGACCAATGGATGCGGCTTTTTGAATGGGGGGATGAGTACATGTATTTGGGGGTTAGGTTGTGTTATATCGACGTGATTTGGGTAGTTTCTTCTGTGTGATGTGTGATTTTCTCTTACTAGATCGGCGGATGGCGCATTTTTGTAGCGTTGAAGGGGGGATTGGGGGGATATATATTGGGTTGAGGTGCTTGCTGTTTTCTAGACTTGGAGCACTTCTTCATCTCCGTCGTTTTTGCCTTAGTTGATGTATCGAGAGTTTTGTTGTTACTTGAGTTATTGTTATCCCAGCTGGTAGAGACAAGTGCATAAACAGCAAATAAACATGAAGACGGCTGTGCTTCTCAGCTGGCTCTTCTGGGGCAGTTTGTCCGCGGGTTGCAGCCATGAAAAGCACGACGAGAGAGAATGGACCAAGGAGGAGCTGGCCGAGCTGGAGGCGAAATGGGGAACCGATGTGAGATTAGCTTACAGCTTTTGCAAAAACACCAAGATGGAATACTGACCCTTGAACCTGTTAGTGGTCGTTTACTGGGTTTGGATCGTTTGCGCACCTGGACTACGTCAAATGCCTGACGAATCCTGCCGAGAAATTCGACATTGCCATTGTCGGAGCGCCGTTCGATACGGCTGTGAGTTACCGTCCAGGTGAACATCGTCCTCATCCAGAAAAAACAACATGAGCACGTAGCTGACATTGTCCAAGGCGCGCGTTTCGGCCCCAGAGCCATCCGCCAGGCGTCGTCCCGGCAGACGGCCTTTCGCGGCTTTAACCCGCGGGCCAACATCAACCCGTACCAGAACTGGGCCAAGATTGTGGATTGTGGCGATATTCCTATCACGCCGTTTGATAATAACATTGCCAGGGAGCAGATGACGCAGGCGTTTAAGGAGCTGGGTAGGAGAGGGACTGTGTCGGCGCTGAGTTCAAAGCCAACGATTATTACGTTGGGGGGTGATCATAGTCTTGCGCTGCCTGCGTTGAGGGCGCTCAAGGAGATATACGGACGACCTGTCCGGGTGCTTCACTTTGACGGTAGGCTTTGGAAACTTGGGGCGATGTGAAGGATTCGATGGATGCTGATTATGGTGATTTTTCGATAGCACATCTTGATACGTGGGATCCGGCGGCGTATCCGTCGTACTGGGGGACGACTCACTTCAACCACGGGTCCATGTTCTGGATGGCTAATCAAGAAGGCCTCTTGTCTAACGCTACGAGCGAGCGGTCTGTGCATGCTGGCCTTCGCACACGGCTCAGTGGTGTCACGAATTTCGACCACGAGGACGACACGGCGCAGAATTGGATCCGGTTCTCGGCGGACGATATTGACGAAATAGGCACCAAGGGCATCATCGACGGCATCATGAAGGCCCTGGGCACCGAGGACCCGATATATTTGTCTCTCGACATTGACGTCTTGGACCCGGCGTTTGCTCCGGGGACGGGGACGCCGGAGCCGGGCGGGTGGACGACGAGAGAGCTGATTCGGATCCTGAGGGGCATCGAGGGGTTGAACATCGTGGGGGCGGATGTGGTGGAGGTGGCGCCGGCGTATCAGGGGCAGGGCGAGGAGACGGCTTTGGCGGCGGCGCAGGCGGTGTATGAGATGTTGAGCTCGATTGTGAAGAGGGGGATGGGGGAGATGGGGAAGGTGAAGGGTGTTGGGGGGAAGGATGAGCTTTGAGATGGCTGGATGTGGGAGTTGGGGGATGGATATGGGTGTTGGTGGTTTGGTTGATGGGATGGAGTTTGGAGGGAGGATCGGGCCTAGGGTTTATGACTATGTGATTTGATTTTACCACACTCTCTATTTTTAATTATTGAGATTGAGGGTGGTTAATGGAAAGAGATGTGGCATTTATGGGATGTAGGAAGTGGTGTTGCTCCCTTTCTGGCCTTGACTGAGGCAATTCCTATAAACTGTATACATGGAGGGTACTCTCGAAGGATTGAATGAATAGGTATAGGAACAATACAGTACTAATCTCTGATTGGTCTGTACAAATGGATTATTCTTTGTTTGAAACTGATTCGCAATGTTGCCAGCTGGTATCTAAATGCAGATTGTTTGTCTGCTATATGCAGTGAGCCTAGAATTCGAGTCCAGCGGACAGACCGCCGATGGCTTGGTCACCGAACACGAAACAAAAGCACACTGATGTTTGTGGATTTACTTACCCCCAGTTACAAGTATCCCACATCTCTACCTGTATGAGGTATGGTGCATCTCTGTCATCACAACTTTGCCGTTGCGGCAGCGGCGTGCATGATACTGGATGTTTGCTATACTGGAGCAGTACAAGTACATGCATCCAGCTCACAAAGTCGATGCAGCTATACTAGGTAGGTAATTATAGCACAACAAATCAAACAACAGCCTTGTCAATGCAGATTAATGCAGATATCCATGCAGACTGCAGGCCGCCCCATCCCACATGGCATCGTCACAAAACGCTCATCTAAAGGACTGGAGCTATCAAATCTCGTCGCATTTGGCGTTGGAGCGGCTATGCAAGGTACCAGTAAACGGTCACTGCTCCAATGCGGAGTTTAGCTGTAGCCACCGCTCGAAGCGGCTAAAGCGCTGCGTGCAAATGAAAGATGGATCATGGATGGCTTTTGATTGCAGAATTGCCACATGCTCGTACGTGCTCTCAGCTCAGCCCACCCATTGTTCAAATGTTTGTACTGCACAGTACTCATACGAAGAGAGAGAGAGAAAAAAAGGACCCCAGCTAATTTCTCCGAGACAAGGTGGTTGAGTGCCTCGTGCTTTTTTCAAGGACGGGATGCAGGTAATATTGGATGTCTCCGTATAAGCAAGCAGCGGTATCAGAATGCCATAGCCACGACGCCTTTCCGATCTAGCCGTTATGCAGTTGTGCCGTTTCGTCTTCTGGGGGGTTTCTGTTTCACTCGCGGTTCAAAGGCCTGCTCAGGGCTCCGCAAGCTGTTTGTACAGTGTATATGCTTGCTTGTGTTGACTCTCTGTTAATGTTGTCATGGCCGCATCAGCATTAGGTCGTCCGCTTTCAATGGATGGCGCTGTTGACCCAGGCCCTTGTTCCTGTTTGCAATCGGCGGCCCTCATTTCTCCAAAAAAGACATGACAAGAGAAAAAAGAAAAGGGCTACTGCTACCTGGCAGGACATCATCAGCTGCACAGGAAATGAGGCAGCACACAGCATTTCATTTGATACGGGATCAACCCTGTGCCCAACTCTGCCGCCACTGGCGCATTCCGAGCTCGTCAAGGCAACCCTGGAAAAAGCACACCGAAGCTCAGGTTGGTGCTAGGTGGCACGACCAGAGGCCATACTCGTGCTAAGAGAACTACCGCTAGTAGGCGTAGCCACAGCAAATACGCGAACAACATAGCGTTACGGGGTTAGTGAACGGGATGAATAAGATGACAATGGGGGGGTGTCCTGCATGAGGGCGGCGAAATTATGGATGGAATTCGCTAGAACGCGGTCAAAGATGGAGCAGAAGACGGCCATGGCTGCAGGTGAGAGACAAGATGTGCGTGGCGGTGAGAATTGCGGTTGGCCAGGAGAGGAAGCCACAGCAGCAGATTGATGTGGCCGGCTATTATTATTATTATTATTTTATTACAGGTATTATTATTATTATTATTATTTTAGATTTTATCGTCTTGCAGCGTGACGCACACGCCAAGGTCTGTCGGTGGCTCTCCTATTACAAGAAGGTAATGTAGCATTGGCGGTTGCTTTGATTGTGCAGCTGGAATAGGGATTGGTGCCCGAGTAAGGAGGCGTCCATCCTTTTTCGATGGTGATGCAGCATGGCCACGGCATGGCATGGCATGGCATGGCATGGCATGACATGGGAGGCAGCTCTCGTCATTCATCGTTGCCGTCTTCCCTTGACATGGACTTGAAAATAGTGTCTCGATCCATCTGTCTGTTCAGCAGCAACTCCATGCAATTAATTACCTAGTGGCTGGGGCCCAGTCTGGAGTCTGCCTTTTAATAATAGCTCCCCATCAATTCGAGATGATGGATCGCCGGCTTGGTACTCGCACAGCACCAGCAGGTACCTATACCATTTGAACACCTGTCACTGAACTCCTTTTCCCGCGCCTTTGTACCCCGTACTTCTGGGGCTGCTGTGCTGTGCTGTGCTGTGCTGTGCTGTGCCTCAGCCTCCATGCTGGCCACATGTCTTTTGGCGTGCTGTGCTGTCTCGTACTCTTCATCATCTCGACACTTTACGGGTGCATTAGAGTTTGCACCATGCAGGTCAACACATGAGCCTGCTTCCTGTAATTTGGATCCCATTCATGCCACGCCGTCTTGCAACAGGGCACTCCTCCAATGGTTCCTCGACCCGTCTGACAGCAGTATGGCCTGCAAGTACCTATGGAGACTCCAGGCCTTGTACCTGTACCTGGCACTGCAGCACTGCTAACCCAGAGTGGACGCCGCATCCGGCTTATACCTGTACTTGCAGTACTTGTA